TTTTGATATTTGAAGTGTGAAAAGATGTTGCATGAATTCCCTATTTAGTCAAGCGATACCTTGAAAAATCGTTCAGGAGGAAGATTTCCATATTTGAATTGTGTTTCAGGACTGACTTTGCATTTTGCAAGGTGTTTGGATTGAACCTATGGCAAAAAAGCAGCTCTTGCATGTAGGGCCTGTGAAATCCCATGTAAAATCTCTGGTAGGATTGAACTGACATTCAATGATACAAAGACCTTTCATTTTCTTTACTCTGTTTGCAAAAGTACTTAAAAACAACTGCAAACTGGGATCTGTCCTGTTTGTCTAAGTAGCCAAGTGAGTGTTGTTACTGTTTTTCCTCACATGGAAAATTGCGGTTCAGGTTGGATATTAAAAGTTTCAACATAAAAGGGAAGTTACGACTTAAATGCCAAGTTCTGACCCAAGTCTAATATCCACAGTAAAAGTTCCCCTGGGGAGCTGTTGAGTTTTCAGCTTTTCCAAAAGCAGATTGTTTCTATACAGAAATGCAAAGAGGCGGTACAGTGAAGTCCTCCTTTTCCCACTTCTTTCCAAAAGAATATTTGTGTTTTTACAAGTGTGCATATCTTGAAGCCTTCTGCAATTTCACATGCCTGTAGTGTAGTTCATTGAATAATGCAGATGTTGCTCCGATCTCCAAAGTCACCAAAGGCCTGAGAAAAAATTAAGTAATGTCACTAATTATAAACTGAGTGAAAAATTACAGTAAACCAGGCTTTTGAAGGGGAACCTGAATTACTTGTCTTGTGGTTGCTTTTCTGCTGCATACAGCTTTCATTTTCTTCAATTGGAACCAGCCTTACACGTTCATTAATGGTAGCATAAATATTTGTTTCTGTGATGACAGATGAAGGTATTGATTTAATCACAAGTACAAATTTGACTTTTAAAACTTCTTGCAGACTGCAGAAGAAATGTGGCGTCAGATGTAGAAACACCAGGGCTTATTGAGAAGTCTGAAGTGTTAGATCCCAAATGTTTGCATGTAAGGAAGTATAATCAGGTTAAAGGAAACTGCAAATGCATGTAAAACAGACGTGAAAAATCCATAGCATAGTGAGGGTGCTGTGAGCTAGTGGGTTTTGCTTGGTTTTACCCACGAGTTAATGGAAAAGCGTGCTCTCTGTGGAGGTAAGGGTGAGGTGGGGAGCCATTAGCTGTTGTTTCTGCCAGAGTGAAAAATACCAAGACAAAATAATTGGGCTGGAGAGAGCATTAGATAGACCATGAGATGTAGAAACTGGATTATTTGTTTTATCTTGCTGCAGTGGTCATTCACCTGATAACATTAGTTTCCCTCAAAATATAATTAACATTTTATTCCCATAAGCATTGTTGTATATTAGATGTTAGTAGGACACAGAGCACTATTTTGTAAATACTGAGTTTGGTGCATAGATAGCTAATTCAGTGCTAATGTCATTATCAAAGGTTGTGGAGGAAGAATGTCCTAAAGGGTCTATTCCTCTTGAAATCATCTCCTGTAGTTATTCCAATGTGACTACTGGTGCATCTTCTGCAGAGACTTGCATTTATTATTCTCCTTAAGAAATGTTAGAAAAGGAATTTTAAAAAAATGTCAAATCAATTCTGTGATTTTATTTGCTTCCTGATTAATCCTGGTCTCTGGAAAGCAAAATGTACATTCCCAATTTCACACCTAGTTACATCTTCTGTTTGCTTTCATCACACGCATGGCTGTTCTCAGGAATGGTGAACATAAGCATAAATGATGCAATATCCCTCTTTGATTTTGAGTGTTTTGCTTTGAAATTAGTGGAAATGTGCAGATTATTTGTAATGCAACATGTAAACAATTGCTATGTACATCCACTCTTTGTAGTGTCAAGGCAGAGTTTTGAACAAGGGTTCTGTCTGTTTGCATAAAGACATAAGAGATTACAGCTTTATATATCCTGACTCTTACGTCAGCGTGGTTTTTTTTTTACATGTTATACTCAAATGGAACTACTCCGTGGCTTGCCTTCTTTCTATTAAAAGGAAGCTGCCCTTGCAGAAGCAGTGACCTTTAAAAAGCAAGTTTCGAGTAATCCCTTTATTTTCCTGAGATCATATAGCACAGTATCCAGTTGCAGGCTTTTAAGATGGAATGATTGCAGGCTTTGTCTGCTCACCCAGATTGCATTTCTTTTTGTTTGACAAAGAAAACTCTAAAATACTTATACCTTCCTTCCTAGGTTCACTCTGTGTTGAGGATGCAGAGTAGTTGCCATATCATCCCTGCACCGCTGGGATTTATTGAATTTACTTAATTGGCCTTTATCTCACAGTTACACTTTAACGCTTTTTTTGAAGGAGATTCAAAAAGGATACAGTTACTCCTTTTCTAATTCACTTTGAGAATTCGGTTACTCATTTCAGTATCTTCCCTTCTTTTCCTGGTAGAATGTTCTGCATAGCCACAGCTGAACATTTGAGACTTATGTAGCGAGAGATTTAAGTCCATGGAGCTGCTAACTAGCAAAGCAAAGGCCTATGGCAAAGCAGACTGCATTTTAAAGTGGAAGCTGTGTTTTAGGGGAGTATGGAGTCTACTACCAGCTATGGAAGCCTGTGGGTAGGTGTTGTAGATATTCAGGGCATTGGAGAACAGACCCAGAGGGATGCAAGCCCGTTTTCCCAAGTCCTCTTGTGCCTCCATCACCCACAGCATCCAAGTGACTCAAGCTCTCTGTTGAAGTCGAATGTAGAATTGCCTGTTACTTGGTATCCCCCACCCACTTTTGATGTGTGTGAAAACCATGTTGCTTCCTTTGCATGAAGGAAATCATCCTGTTTAATAAGCTCATTGCTTGCTGTGTCTTCTCAGGGCTAACGTATCTGACAGTATACAGATGCACAACTCAGCTGTTTTTGCGCAGCATTCATTTAGACACCTGGACTAATTTTTGGAAGGTCCTATATCAGATTAGTGGATTAAGTCTAGGTTGATTTTAGCTTTCACATAGTACAAGAAATTGTGGAGGACGTTAGCTAGAGGGTAAGGTGACTTTCGTGGATGAAAGCACCATGTGGTGCTTATCTAAATAACGCGATCATCATTCAAATCAAGGTGGTTTTTACTTGCTCAGTGGAGCAGTTGTCAGCACAGTGGTGTGTGCACAGCTAAGGAACTAGCATGTCTGTGCAGCTGATGCCAGCTCTCCAGCAGAAAACAATATGGAAATGACCAACACCTCTCAGGATCCTCTGAGAGCCAAGTGAGTGAGAGATTAGTAAACAGGAGTGAGAAAAACTGGGATTGAAAAGAGGCTGAGATGCAGGAACTTGCTTAAAACAAGAAAGCTCACTGCTAACCGTCAGGGTTTCCAGGGATAATTGCCTGGAGCTGTTCCCCTACTCTTTTTGGCTGAAGATCAGACTTGGCAAACTTAATTCATTTGTTGTCTTTATTTTACTTAATTGGTTTGGGGCTTTTTTTTTAATTTTTTTTTATTTTATTATTATTATTATGAAAATCAGTCAGTCCAGTCTTCAGGAGAAGTAATTTCCAAATAACTTCTAGGAGATTAAATGTGTTCTTTGCTGCTTATCTCTGCACTCAGTTCCCAGTATTTCCCCAAGGGACTTTGCCATCGGTCCCTGCAGTCCCTGTGCAATCCTTGCTGAGATCTGGCCTGTCCAAAGGGTGATTCAAAGACTCTTGGCCAGAGATGGGCTGATCTTCCTCTGGGGAAGCTGCTCTTTCTTCCTCCCTGAATTTTTCCCAACCCTTTTTTTTTTTTTTTTTTTTTTCACTTGACTTTATTTTCCTCATCTCTGGCATGAAGTAATTGGGGTTTTGTGGTTACATTTCCCACAACAAACTTCACCTATGTGGCTGGCAGGGATGATTTAAAAAAAATAATAAATCCCAAACGGCACAACATGAAAAGTCTCTGCAGTATCAGACTGAAAACAAAGAAGCAAGTTTGTTTCCCATGCACATGTGTGCTGCAAAGGACAGATAACCTTCCAGGGCTGCATCTTACAATAATAAGCAGAGCTGTATAGCTGTTTGCATTCTTCGGCTTCCCCAAGCACACTGTGAACTTCTGAACTGTGAGCAGGGATTGCAGCTCGGTGATCACTATTTAAATACTTATGGTTGCCATTTGCAAGGAATTAGCATCACTACGCAAGCTGCAACACCTCGGTAATATTTGTTATTGGAGAGCAATTGAATTCTAAAGATCAGAAAGGCCTGCTGTCCTGTTCAGCTCTTCCAGAAACAGGTGCTGGAAGGTGCCTTGGCTTCAGTGAGCGCACAAGGCAAAGTTAAGGAGCCTGCATAACTGAAAGTGTTCTGTGTGTGCTGAAATGCATACCTGCAGAGCAGCTGAAGGATGGCAACATGTAATCAATATGTAATTCTGTTGTGGTAATATAAGCCCATGATACATTGGAAAAGTGCTTGAATAGACAAGATGTGGGGTTGATGAATTTGCAAATGCTTGAAAAGACAAGGTGGAGGTATAAGCCACTAATATCAGTTCCTGTTTTTATTTTGCTCAAGTGGGCAATCCTGGTCAGATCCTCAGCTGCTGAAAATCTGTGCGAGTCCACTGCTTTTTTGGGATCATGCTGATTTGATTTGCTCAGAGCAAGCTCATTCTCTTGAATCTCATTTCTCCTTGCATTTTGTCATCTGTTGGTTTATCTAAATCAACACGTAGTGGAATCCAACGTTTTCCAGAAATGCCAGCAGTGGCACAAGTTGGTTGCTCAGCATTCATTATGAGCTCTTCATGTGGACTTAGCCCTAACCTGGGGTAAATCATTACTGCTCTAATTGAGGCAGCAGGCAGCATGATTCCCAGCTGTTAAAAATGGCCAAATACCACCAAAGTGAAAACAGGCCCCACTGATTTGCAGTAGCTAAGGATGACATGCTGATGAGTTTGAGTTCAGAAGGGGCAGACCATCTTACTAACCATGGTTTTGTCTGTTCTGTTTTTTCTCCTGTCTTGCAGCACCTTCTCCAGTCAGTAGTGTGAAAAAAGGGAAGATAACTAAAAATAGCATCTCCCTTTCCTGGCAGGAGCCAGATCGACCCAACGGCATCATCCTGGAATACGAAATCAAATATTTTGAAAAGGTGTGATGGACTGATTGCCGAGCATCCCAAGTACCTTCTCTTTCCTGTCCTCTTCTTCTGGTTCTAATTATCTGAGTCATGGAAAGGAATGGAGCAGTTTTATGCATAAATCAATGTCACATTGATTTTGCAGTAAATGATTAGGAAGATTTGAAATGAGGGTGTTGTTTTCCATTAGTGTGCCGCTTCTCTTGAACAAATACATTAAATCTGTGTCAGATTCCTCCTCAGCCTTATCGCATTAAGGTAGAACCTGTTCAGTTGTTAAAAATAGGAGGGTTTGGGGATCAAGCTTCTATATCCTCTCAGAAATACCAGGCTATCCCTTGCACTTGGTATTTCAATTCCTCACTTGGTTTTGTATCCAGGGTATAAGGAAGGAAGGGAGGGTTAAAATGAGGCAGTGTCTGTTCTGATGTGAAGAAGGGCATCATGGCTTTTAAAAGCTTGCCTTTTTTTTTTTTTTTTTTCTTTTTTCCCAACTCTAAATCTCTGTGTAATGAGAAACACTTTTCCTACAAAGGTTGACCATCTCTGCCCCTGTTTCAAATGGTGACATCTTTTCTTATTGAAAAATTAGTGAAGTTTAAAACAAAATGCCAATAAATGAAGGCTCCAAGGTGACCTGATAGAGGTCTTTCGGTATCTAAAGGGGAGCTACAGGAAAGGAGGGGACAGACTCTTCAGCAGGGTCACTGGTGATAGAATAAGGGGAAATGTTTTCAAACTGAAAGGAGGTAGATTTAGGTTAGATATAAGTAAAAAATCTTCTACAGTGAGGGTGGTGAGGCACTGAGACAGGGTGCCTGGTGACGTGGCTGATGCCCTGTCCCTGCAGACTTTCAAGGTGAGGCTGCCCTAGACAGCCTGCTCTAGCTGTGGTGTCCCTGCTCATTGCAGGGGAGTTGAACTAGATGGCCTTCAAAGGTCCCTTGCAACTTTAAGGATTCTATGATTCTATTAAATGCATTTTTTGTAAGTAATGTTTTGTGAACTATGCAGCTCAACTAAGATTTCAAAAAATTAGATTTGAGGGGTTCATCTGAAAAGCAATTTGTAGCTTTAGCTGGAAATGTAACCAGGGTTTCTCTCTTAAAAATGGAAGAAAATAATGAAACTGAGTCACAGTTCCCATTTTTTTGGGTCAAATTTCTATCTTGTAGAAGATCTTTAATTAGTTTTATTGCATAGGTGAGGTCACTCAGCACTCAACAGCACTGGACCACCTTCCTCCTCATCCTCTTCTTTCTCTCTTTCTTTCTGGGAGAGATTCAGTTCCGCAGCCCAAGCAAACCTGGGAAAGAGATTAAAAAATTTTCTTCATCAGGATAAAATGTTTGTTTTTTTTCTTTTTTAATTGAGAGAGCTTGGACAGGGTATGAGTGGCTTAAATAGGGTTGAGCCCCCAGCTTTCTGCCCAGAAACCTCCAGTGGTGGAAAACCAGCTGGATTTGCCAGCAGTCCAAATTTTGGGCAAGAAGGTGCTAACCAGCCCATTGTTTTCTGAGGACCTGTTGTAAGTCCCTTGGGGAGCTCTAAGGAGAAGTGATCTGCATTATGCAACTGAGGAGGAGTGAAACCAAGATCCCAGAGCAAAAGTTAGAGGAAGCGTGCAAGGTCTGTGTGCCTGACCTGTTCATTAGGATGTGTGGGAATGGCACAGAACTGCACCAGGAGATGTTCAGACTGGGCATTAGGAAAAATTTCTTTACCATGAAGGTGATCAAACACTGAAGAGACTTCCTGGTGAAGTGGACGATGCGCACCGTGCCTGTCAGTGTTCAAGAGGCATTTGGATAATGCATTCAATAACATGCTTGAACTTCTGGTTAGCTCTGAAGTGGTCAAGAAGTTGGACTCCCTAATCTTCGATGGTTCCTTCCAGCTGAATTATTCTATGTGATATTTTGAAAAAATCAATTGGATGTCATTTATTGGGGTACTGGAAGTGCTGCTATAGCAGAATGGTGGGATTCCAACAAAGTACAAAGAATCAGGATATGGTTTTACTGGAACTAGTGAATTTCAGATTTTTTATTGACTTTGAATGAATGTTGTGGTGTACTGTCTCCTTACCTTGGAGTGGCCTGGGAAGATTAGACTCTAAACTTTAATGATGAGCAAATAAGGCTGGAAAAGTATGTTTGTTCTATTTAGTTTCTTTCCAAACAAATGATAGGGTTTTAGAATCTTGTATTTGTGATCAAAAATTTATTCACAAGTAGCTTCAGTAAATAGTTCTTAAAGTGCAAGTCATTCATGGGAAGGTTGCTACCGTCAGACTGAGTCTATGCTGTCTTGATTTATTTGTTTCAGGCTGGTAGCTAAGCTTAGTGTCTTCTGTAGGAAAGCTCAAGTGTTTAAATGTTTGCAGAGCCAGCAGTGTATTGAAAATCTAATTGGGCTGACATGCAAGCAAATATGTGAACTAATATTCACTTAGTGCTTTTTAACTATTCATTCAGCTATATTTGGGATGTCATCCTTAATCCTTCTTGTTTGTTGTCACTGTCATTTATATTCTCTTGGGTTTGAGGCCTTTATAACAGTGAATTCACAGTGTTCATTTCCAGTGGATAAGAATGATCGATATTAAATGTTTCAGAAAACTGAGATTCATCAGATCACATTCCTTTAAGAGAATTCATTCCTTAACAAGAAAAGAAGGGCAAGTAGATACAGATACCTCCATACAGTCCTGCTTAGCTATAGGCTTCAGTGAGAAAATAGGTGATCCTACATGTGGAGATTCCCAGGGCCTCAGACAGATGTGTTATTCTCTGTGGAAAGTTGCCCGTTAAGTGGGAAAGAAAAAGAACAGTGAGTTCAGATCCTAATAGAGGTGCAGAAATCTTGGTGGAAAATTGCCCCAGACTGCTGTTTACTTCATAATAATTTAGATTTGAGAGGGTATGGTGAATAAAAAGCATTTTCCTAGTTTGTAGTCCTTAATTTATGAGCTCTTGTCAAGATTATGTGTTACGGTAAATAATTCTAAGAGTAATTACTAAGCATTTGAGTGAAATTTTAATCAAAGAACTGAAACTCTTTCACATTAGAAACTGATTTAAATTAAGATTTATTTCAAGCGAATTTTCTTCAAGTTCATTTCTTCAGAAGAACACTGCAAAATTAGTTATCTTCCTGTAGTTTTATTTGGCTGTTCCTGGCCAAGATCTAATTCGTGGCTCTAGAAATGCCAGCATAAAGTTGTACAATGTATAATATATGATTCTCTTTTAGGCTTAATTACATTACTGAGCGCTAGTTTTTGCTATAAATTAAAATCCCTCTTTAAGGTAAAGGAACTGTTTTCTGCTTTCCAGTGCCTTGGGACTGATTTTTGTTTGTAGTCTGAACCTCTCATTTGCCCCAGGCATCTCTATGCCAGCTGCACTGCCTTTTAAGATGTGCACATCCAGTGTGACAGAAAGCTGCCCCCACTACAGTGCCAGTTCTGGTCCTATGTGTTGTTATTTATGGCTGGAAAGTACCTCGCACACTTCCTGGAGTCATTGGCTATAAAAGCAGCAGGGCAAGGGAAAAACAGATCTCTCCTTTTGTACTGTTGGAAGGGCCTTCAGAGGGTTATTTCAAGGGGAAGAGATCCTTAAAAGTGTGTATTTCATTAATTCTCTGTAACACTGTTGTGGGAGTTGTTAAGAGTCTGTTCCATTGGAGCCAGTATTTGTGTGTTTGAACTCGTGTTTTTTGTTGGGGTTGGGAAAAGGATCAGGAAACAAGCTACACCATCATCAAATCCAAAGAGACCACGATTACGGCAGATGGCTTGAAACCAGGCTCAGCATACGTCTTCCAGATCCGTGCCCGGACAGCTGCTGGCTACGGTGGCTTCAGTCGAAGATTTGAGTTTGAAACCAGCCCAGTGTGTAAGTCCTTTTAATTGCTGTCAGTTCATTACCCTGAAATGGCTACCAGCAAGGAGTCAGTTGATACCTTCATAGAGAGTTCTGCTGGTCTTGTGCTCTTTTCCTTTCTGGTCTCATTCCTTGAGTTATTATGCATCGGACACACCATGACTGTACACTAGGCGGGTTAACACATCTGCCCTTGCCTCCTTGTTTCACACATTGGGGCAGGAGTTGAGGCACCAGGAGATTGTTAGGCTCCAGAAATGCCTTAGAAAATCTTAGAACTGGCTTAGAAAAGCCCTGTATTTGGGAGAGATGTTAGTGTTGAATGGTTGCTATTGGCTTGCCAGTGAGTAAGAGAAGGTGGAGATACTCTCTGCTCCACTCTTGTACTCTTTCCCAATAGACAGAGGGGAACATGCAGTACTTGTGTGAGGGAGGACAAGGCCAGAGTGGCAGGAGGAGAGGGCTGAAACCTTCTCCACACCCTTTGTGGCCATCTGCACAGGACACTGAGCTCTCTATTAAGTATCTGTTGATTACATCTGGGGAAAAGGATTCTTCTCCTGAAATAGGGCATCTCTGTGAGGGGAAAAATTTAGCCAGCATTCACATCTTTTGATGCAAGTTACTGTCAAGTTGAAAGATGGCTTCTGATGGTTGTCAGTGCCACAGCCTTGAGGCAAGGAATTTGACTTGTGATCAGAAGTAATGAAAATGTGCACTGCTGGCATAGGAATTCTCTTGGCCCGTTAAAAATTTGTGGAGCTTGAATTGATTTGCTTTTTCTTTCAATGTATCTGATCACTCGGGTCTGTGTTCTGGAGCAGATTTGGGGCTGAGAGCATGAGGACCCAGCTGCTGAGGGTTGTGTTCAGTTGTCCAGCTGTTCTTTCGCATGGGTTCAGGCATGGCTGAACTCCTTTTGTCCTGACTGCCAGATTTTTGCTGAGGTGTCAAAGATGCACTTCCAAAATATGTAGTTTTTATGTCTTTTCCAGTTTGTACAACCATCATCTAATAATCTTGTATACTAATTGTGCAGAAAAGGAAAATATACAGTGAAAATGCTCAGTTTATTCCTGTGGAAAAGAGCCAATTGATTCTGTGTTTTCCACAGAAATTGAAATTCATCAATACTTCAATTGCTGGTATTCTAGTTCATACAAAATTCATCATCAGCTCTTTGAGAAAAAGATAGCAAGTTGTCATTTCAACGTATGCCACCTTTGAAGTCATCATAGATGTTTAAAGGAATCACAATATTTGTACAGATACAGCTGTGGAGCCAATGCTTGAACTAATATAGTGCAAATAGCACCATGATGCAAGTAATAATGCTATAAAAATGGTCCATTTAATGTATTTCTTATTGTGTTAAGCATTAATCCTATAAGTAGCAACAGAATTGTGTTAGACTGAAGATTACTCCATGTTTATACTAGAAAAATTTTGCTAGCAGTTGGAAATTTCCTAAGTTAGAATAATTCAACTAATAGTATTCCAGAATATTAGTGAAATACTTTATTAAATGCATGCACATTTGATCCAGTGCCGTAGTCTCCTGCAATTCTAGTCCTAGAATAGTGATAATTCATCAAAGCTTCTTGTGAAATATAAAGTAAGCTTCAGTACCTTGCACAAATGAAGCTCCATTTGACATTTTAGACCTCTCAAAAAGAGTGTTTTTTTCCTCCCCCAAAATGCTATACAAAGTCAGCCTTAGTGCCAGAAGAGTGAGCAGACTCCCCACTGCTTTCCTGTGTTCCAGCATCCCAGAGAAACAGATGCTTTGAAAGCAAGTGCAGTCTGAAGTCCTAGTGCGATGTCGGAGTTCAGAACTGAACATTTTGGAGAGCCCAACCAATTAATTTTGATTCAGGCACAAACACAAGCCTTCCAGTTACTGTTGGGGGAATGAAGCATCTACTCACCTTCCAAAATTGTTTGGAGCAACGTGTTTTGTTTCCAGTTCACAGTGTTTCTGTAAATTTGTTTGTATACGTTTGGAGGAACTATCACAGCAATGGCTAACAGCTGAGTGATCTAAGCATTGAGAAGTGGAGGGGATGAGAAAACCTGAAACTTCATCAGGACTCGTCTCTTTTTCCAAACTTTGGCTTTGTTTTACATACTCTTGCCTGAATGTGCAGTTCTGCAGAGCACTGCATTGGAGCTAGATCTGCAGTTTTCAATGGCAGTTCATGTTTAGGTGGAAGCTGTAGCTGGGTGTGCCCACTTGATGCTTCCCCCTTTCTGAATGCCAGAGAGCTCATCCCTGATCTGGCCACAGACTAACACTGCCCAAAGCTATTTTTATGCTGTATTGGTGAATTAGTCCAGCTGATCACTCAGGAGGGAGCAGGATCTTGTCACAGAGGCAGGCTAATGCAAATCCCCTCCTTCACATGGCTGCAAGGTTCCAGATCGGTTTACAAATTCATGCTCCCCTTCTACCCTAAATCACAGCAGGGTCCATCTTACTTTGCTATCCCTCGAACTGTGCAAAAAAACTCCAGAGTAATAGCTTAATGTTCTCCTTTAAATGTTTTTCTTTTTAATTATTTTGCCAAGAAAGCAATAAAGCATCATCTTAAGGAGCTTCTATAAATTCGTGAGGCTAATAAAATCTCTGGATGATAGCACAGGTTTGGAGCAGTTAACATTAAATTTTAATGTATTGGGCCAGTCATTCTGAAATCATTTGCTGTTCCTGAGCCCACATCACTTGCAGTCAAGCACTGGAGAGCTCCCGTATAAAGAGCTACTTGAAACCCGTTGCATGCTCAGTGCCTCACCTTTTCTTCTTTCTTTTTTTTTTAACAATTAATATGGGGCTCGATTCAGTTATTTTATAGCCTCCATAAAATTAATCCTGTGCTAAGGACCCCCTTTATTTCTGTCATTTGGTTAAAGATCTTCTGCAGCTCAGAAATCAATTTCTGCTTCTCCCTGGAGTGGCTGGAGTTGCATCTGGGACTAAGGCCAGGGCAGGCACTTCCTAACCCCGTCAGCAGCTATAGCGAGGTTTGTCCCGTACAACAGCCAAATGTGTTTATGGGGGAGGAGGCCAGATCTGTACCCCAGAGAAGGGATGTGCAGCTGAGTAGCTGGTGGTGGAGAGAGGAAAGTGAGAAGGCTTAGGTTTCTGCTTGGGAATCACAGTGTGCAAATCTCTAGGGAGAGGTGGGGCCCTTCCCCTGCAGTATTAAGCGGATAAGCACAGTATGGGTGTTAGCATTTCCATTTACCAGGCTTCAAGAATCTACTCACCTGCTTAACATAGTTAACATATGGCAAAACCTGGTTCTTGAACACAGATTTCCTGACCTTTCTGCTTGTGTCTTTATCATGGGACTCATCTACTGCATTTTTGTCAGGAGGGATTTTTACAAGGCATGGGCTGGCACAGTTACACTTTCCTTAGCAGATAAAATGACCAAGCAGTGTGTGTGTGTGTCTTTGCAGATTCCTATTTTACAGTAACCATCTTCTGGCTGTATTATATAGATGGTATGGGGAATTTGGGTTTAATTGTTTATAGCTTCTTGAAGCACAGATAATGCTAATTGTCTCAGATCTTGTTCACATCACCTATTTAGAAACTGCAGCAATATTATTCCATGAATGTTTTCTCTGCCTATTTTGTTTTTCATCTGTGTGATTTCCAATGCAGCTGACCTGGGAAGGACGAACTCCAGTTTGCTCTCTCAAAAGCTGAGTTGTTTTAGCACTTAATTTCTGAGTTCAGTGATGAGATACAATTTAGTTTGGGTTTTGGCTTGGTTTTTTATGTGTTTTGGTTCTTTTCCACCCATTTCCCTTCCAAAGTAGAAACAGACAGCAAAGGGGGAAAGCACAAACCATAAAAGAAAAAATGAACTGGTAAGACTGAAACCTCATTGACAGCCTCACAAGAAAGACCCATGCAAGTGCTGACTATAATTTTAACCTTAATCTCCATTTTCTGTTTTTCATCTCAGCAGTAGCTGCATCCAGTGACCAGAGCCAGATTCCTATAATTGTTGTGTCTGTAACAGTGGGAGTTATTCTGCTGGCTGTTGTTATCGGTTTCCTTCTCAGTGGAAGGTAAGAGAAGAAGCTGTGTATTTACACTTCTCCAACTTTTGTAATAACTTTTATCTGGCCAGCTGATTAGCACAATTGAGGCGAGAGCAGCATGTGAACAGAGCTGTCAAGCAGTAGTGCTGTAAAGCAGCATGAGGGTGGGCTGATTGATCTGTTTGGACAGACAGGAATCGCCAATGTGTGCTCACAGATGTAGTTCACTTCCAGTGATTCTCATCTCTGTGTAGACTGGCCCTGATTATTAGATTTTATTTGATTCTCACTGGAGTGTTTTCCTATTTCTGCTTTAAAAATAAGCAGAACTTTTTGTAATAGGTTAAATATTCTAAAGCCCATATGTTTACACTCAGACCTTGCAGTGGGCTTTTCTCGCAGAGTGTGACTTCAGGAAAAAACTTGTGAAGAAAAAGAGAAGAATTCCATCCAAATGGCTAAGTGCCCTAAGTTTGGTCAGGTCTGGATTTCATTTTTTCATGTGTAGGATGCTAATATTTTCCCCATGCACTAATAAATTATGCAGAGAGATCCTCACGTAGAGGGAATTGCTCAGCTTTAAGCTATCAAACAATCCCATAGACTTCTCATGTGCTTAAACATAGGCAAGTGATAAAAGGCTGGACTATACAATCTTTGACAACTGTAATGGGAGTTGATAGAACTTGTTGGTGAACAAGGAATTGTGGTATTGGGGGAAAATCTAGCTTATGTCAGGATCAGTTTGTACTACGTCACTAAACTTATGTAGCAGCCAACACACAAGACAATTTTTCATATACTACATATGTATTCTTCGCAGTCAGTGCAGTACCTGTCAAAACATAGTGCATTTATTTTAATGGCAGCAGTCAAACAGTGCAGCGTCATTCATGCATAGCAGTCTGAGGTGCCAAGCCAGCATAGCATCTATTGGTGATACTGAATTTGTTTTCAAAGCAAAATAAACACTTTGGCTTAGAAAGTCCCTCACAGTCTTGCTTTCTCGAGCTTGGGTCTAGCAAGGTGACTATATGTCGCAAGACATTGTGCTAGTAATAGTTAAAAGATACTGGCAGAGGAACTGCACTGATGCTGAACATATCAGCTGAGAGTCTTGTTTCAAAGAGGAATTGCAAATGTTTGTCAGTGAACACACTACAGTGAAATCCAGCCAGGCTGAACAGCTTTGTCCCCAGTCATACAGCATCTGTAGAAAGGCACAGTTATTTCCTGTCCTGACAGGTAAGTGGATGCCAGACTCCTCTCCAGTAAAGGTCAGAAACTGACAAACACTTGCAACTCAGCTATTCAGGCTCCTGTCACCTGCTTTGAGAGACTTGTTGGGCTTAAAAATAGCAAAGTAAATGCTCTGGTTTGCATGAGAAGCAAGCAGCAGCGTGGGGCAGAGTATAAATGGTTATACTAGTGGCTCCAGAAAAGCTGTAGGCAAAAAAAAACCTGTCTGACTCTAAACTCTGTGAGCTGGTGTTCAAATCCCTCTTTAAAGGCCGGAGGGTTTGGGTCAGATCCTTTTCCAGTCAGACAGAGGGATGTGGACTTGACCTCCGTCAGCCTCAGTGCTTGTTTTTATCAGCACAGACAGGGAGCAACATTTGCATGACTGCAGAAAAGCTGCGGATGTAGCTTTTGCATCTGCAAAAGGAGCCTTTAGGCATGAATCTCAGGTGGAGGGACACACGTCCTTTTGTAGCTGTATCCTGTGACAGCTAGTGGCTGCTGCTCTTCCCACAGGCATTGGACATGGTAAGGATCCCTTTGTTGAGGACATGCACTTGCACTTGGCCTTTTTTATTCCTACCCTGCTCAGATCTGAGCAAGCAGTTGCACAACTGAGCCATTTATCAGCAGTTTTGTTAGCTACGGCCTTCTGTCCTTTGCCCTGATGGGCTTTCCACGATGTGTGCTTCCTCTTGGCTCTTTATCCCTCAACATATTTGTAAAGTCCTTGACTGCTGGAGTTTTATCCTCTCCTCTACTGCTGCCTTAATCTTCCTGTGCCGTACTCTCACCAATCTGCATGAAACTCCAGGCAGATGTAGGCTCCTGGGAGCTTCTCCATGGTACCACCCTGAGTGTAGAAGGGATTGGAGGAGTTTGCTGGTTTACATTCATTCTCTCTGCTATCTGGATGGAGAACCAAGCAAAGCAGGCTTGTGATAGGCCTGCCTGGGAATGAGCTGTGAAGAAATGGTTAAGGAAGATAAACTTTCATTCGAAGCAGCTGCTATCCCAGTTTGACATGGGCCTTGGCCTGAGACTGCTGTTGCAGACCTACAGGTACTACATCTCCATGGGTTGCGCTGTCTCCGGGGAACAAAAGAGGACCTACATCCATTTTCAGATTTTTAATCCTTCTGCTAGACTGGGAAGAACCCAGTCTCTCTGCTGGAGGTGGTAGAGGAGCCTCTAGCACCAAAGTTTGGTCTGTCATTAGAAAATTAGTTTCAACACTGCAGGAGTTCTTGGCCACTCTGAGTTCCTGTGTATTTTAAAGCCTGTCTACTGTGCAGAGTAACTCTTCAAAGCAGAAAAATAAAGCCAGAAACCGAGAAAGCTGACAGCCGATTTGAAAGCAAAACAAAAAATTTTTTCCTGTTTGAAAGAAGCAGAAATGCCAATGAAATGTGTCAGTCATGCAGCTCTGCCTTGGATACAGTTTCAAGACAATTCCTGGAGTCACTCTCATGCTGTGACATTGCAGAGATGATAAATGCATTCCAAGTCATAGGATAATCCCTTTCTGAAGCTGTAACCTGTTTCCGTTTCTGGAAGACTTTATCTTTAGAGAGGTTATGTGTTCCAGCGCTTAGTACTAGGGAGTTACATTTTCTTTTCTATTTCTTTCTTATAATTACTTTTAGAAAAACAGACATTTTGAACTCCAGGATTTGCTCCAGCTCAAATCACGCTGCTTTCCATGCTGAGCAAGCTGTGCAGAGTCCAAGCACTTTCTCCTCTCTGCATAATGTAGGAGGGCAGGTAGTGTCCAACAGCAAAGCTACAAGAGAAACCTCTCAGACTGCCGCAGTGAGGACATAGCCTGGCACTGCTGCAAATGAGCACCTCATCTCTGGCTCCATGCTGTTCTCAGGCACCATGGGAGTTCCTAGGCACCTCAGAATTAGGATATTGCTCTATGAGATGCTCTATGGTATATCTCTTTGTGCTAGCCCTCCCACGTGCTGGACAAAAGCGAGCATCTCAGGAGGCAGGGCACTGAGAGTACTTGGTGGAACTGGCAGAAGAGTGCAGGGACTTGAGAGCAGGCCTCCTCATGCTTGCAGTTCAGAAAGTAATTTCCTAGCAGTAGGCATCAGGAGTTTGCTAGCTCTACAGGCTTTTTACTTTCTGTTGGGGCCCTGGAGGCAGAAGTTTCCACACCTTTTCCCTTTTTGCTTTCAACTATCTCTGCAGCTTCTCGCTTCTTTTGAACAAATGTAAATAACAGCTTGGCATTTCCCGTTGGCTGCTGGCCCTAAACCAAAGGTCAACTGAACGTTAGTCACAGTGGCATTTCCACAAGCCAGCGTCCATCTGTGGAAATGAGCTTTGTTTCTGAAGCTGGAGGTTCCTGGGAATTTGAAACTGAATGCGCTTTGCTCTAAACAATTAAACTGCATTTCCGAGCTGATGTACTTGCAGATGCTCAAGAAAACGCTTCCTGTAAATAATGTGTCCTCTGACCAAGGTCATAAATACCGCTAAGCAAAATAGCTGGGAACCGTTGAAGTCTCCTGCTCTGTGCATCAAGGGCATATTAATTATATAACAATCAGGATTACAAATCAAAGCGATTCACTAAATCAGACTGTACTTGTCTGGGCAAGAAAAGAAAAGTGGATTGAAAATCTATTATTAAACCAGAAACAAGCATTAAATTAAAGAACATAGAGTTATTATCTTTGTTTTCTAAGGACTGTGTTATTCTCAACAGCAGAATACATTTTACAGATACAGGAGAGCTAAATTTTGCTTTCTTAGCAATGCTTGAATCAGTTAGCACTTGCATTGTTGTACATAATTGAAGTATATACTAATTTAAAATTGTTAGAGTTTTGCTTCAGTTGTCAGACAATGCCAGTAGCCAGGATGTGTGCTACACAACACAAAGGGAATGAGGTGCTGCATCTGTTGTTGTGGTATCAGCCCTCAAATCCTACAAACCCAGACAGGAGGTGAGGGTACAGCCCAGCCAAAGCAGGTTTCCATCAGCCTGGGAGGGAGACCCACTGCTCCAGAGCTCCAGAGCAGTTTTCCCTGCATTGTCCCTCCGGCGCTGTTTACAAAACTGAAGGGATATTGGGGTCAGTCTTCAGAAACTGCAGCTCCCTGCAATCCTCCAGGCAATAGAGCTTTGCAGTATTAAACAAAGGAATGGGCTTTTACAGAGTAAAATGGGAATGCTATTAGGTCAGTGCTAAGCATGTTTGTGAAAGCTGCTCAAAATAACTAAGAAGTGAGCTGTGTATCTGCATTTATAGCCAGCTACCCATTATGGTTGACTTTTCAATCTAAAGTGATCTTTCAAAGAACTGGACAGAGGTTTTTATAGAACTTAAGAAAAATAAATTTGAAGCAGCAAAAAATTGCACCTCTCTCTGTGCTGTGCATACATAGAAAGGCAAGAAACTTCTTCTGGCAAGAAACTAGCTTTGGAAAGACAAAGCAAAGACAAATCTTCCCACCTGGGTGTTGGCAATTAAAAGCTTCTGCACTGGAGTATCCATCCTTGACCTTAGCTGATTTAGACTTTTAAATATCAGCCCCTGTGGTGGCAGAGGGCTAGTTTCTGGACACAAATATGTGCATCTTGTTAAAAAGTGACTTTCATAGAGTAGAGAGGTTGAGAGGACTGTGGTGTGTATCCCAGGTCCCAAGCCAGCATGTGCAGCCTTCTGTGATGTGGAAGGTCAAAATGAATTTTTCCACAGCCCCCTCCTGACATCTTTTTCCAAGATGTGTCAGGGCTTAAAATAGTTCACTTCTTCAATATTTCCATAGGAAACAGGAGACAGGTCATATGTAACATTTTTCATAGAGAGAATTTTTCCAGCATGAGTCACAGTTTTTGTTAGTTGTGACTTTAAAGAAGATTTTTATCTCTACTTTCCTACCTATTCTTCCTTCTTCCTACAGGACATTGTCTCCCATGATCTGTAGCCATTTTATTGATAGTGTCTGTTGCCAAATATCCCCTGTAATCCATCTGCCAACAGGAAGGATTTTGCTGGAGAAACTATTGCTTTTGCCAATTCAAGATTTCCATCTACCAAGAGGAGGCAGGGTATAGTACCACCTGCTTTTGGGTCAGTGTTTTTACTATCTCCATCACATTAGGAGCCTCTTTGCTCTTTATTCCTACCTTTTGCAGGAGAGGAGTGTTTGCAGCATTGTTGCTCAGTTTCCCTCTCCAAAAAAGAGGTACTCCGGTACTTTCCTTTCTCCACAGGTCCACCAGCCCAGAGCTGGTGTGGAAATCAGCTGCCCATAGTCCTTACATCTAATGTTTTGCCTGTAGGCTACCTAGATCAGTTTTGCCCTTTGCCTGCTCCAATTTCTTTTTCCTTCTGAACAACTGTGGGCTTAGTACTTCTGTACAAACACACAGTAAGCCAGTCTAAGTTGCTGCAGTTTAGAGAAGAACTTAGGGACCCAGGCTAATCTGCTTTCAGATGACCTTGGCTTGATCAGAAATTAAGCTCCAAGAATGTGTGAATTATTCCTCAGTAACTCAGTAACAGCTGAGTGAGTGGACAGAAGAACCACCACAAACAGAAAACTGATTGGCATAAGCTCTGTCTGATTAGGGAAATGTGGGAGAGTACAGCCAAAGCTCCTCATCCAGATGATGCATTTGATGGTATTGTGGAAGTCCTTTTTCCACTTGGACAAGAGAACTAGGATGCCTTTCAAGCTAAAAATGCAGTTTGATTTCTGTAGTAGCAGCTCCAAGTTGCTGCCAAGCGCTGATGAAAGCCCCGTATGTGCTTGTTTTGAAGTAGAGTTTTACAGTGTCTCTCTTGGCTGTGGAGTGGGTAGAGGATGAAGAAGAAAATCAGGCTGTTGTCCCGCTGCTCCTCTGAATATGTGAATATTCCATTCTCCATTGAACACTAGATGTAGGAAGTGTGATCTCTCTTGGAGGCACACCATGTTGCAGCACTTGGGCTCTTATCTGCAGAAAAGGTTATCTGCACTTTCTGTGGCTTCAGAGTGTACTGCAAGGAAAGTTTCCAAGTGTGCTCCCTTTCCTTGGAAGTGTTGCTCTCTTTTCCCATAGTGATTGTGTATATATTGCCTGCTTGGACTTCTGCATTCTCAGTTATTGTCTGTCACTAAGAGACATGCCTTAACATGTGAACTACACATAGCTCAATAGGAAGAGGAGGTGACTACTTAACATCACATAGGTCTGGGCTAAGTATAAATATATTCCCTGCAGTTGGCAGTGAGTAATGGTGTTTCTCTGGTGACTGAAGCAAGCACGTTGAGTCTGGAGGTGCTTGGTGCAGAGCTGACATTCTGACCTGGAGATGCAGGAAGCAATCATGGGCATTGCTCAAGGCTGCAGGAAGGATTAGAAAAATCTTCCCAGAAATCCTCAGATATTGCGGTTTCTAATCACAAACCTCTAAAGAACATCCCATTAGAGCAACTTATTAAAAGCAGTGGATGAGGCTTTCATTTATCATGACTCCAAGTCTTCAACTTATAACTTTTATAAGCCTTAGCTCAGTATGGCAGTCTCGCTGAGATGTATCCTGCCACTAGAAATTTAGTTTAATTCCAAATGCTGTCTGGGTCATCTGCAGACCTGTGGTAAATTAATTACATTCATTGAAGGCGCTCCTTCAGTCGTGAGGCCTATCTTATATATTTCCTTAACAAAGCATATAGTTCAGGGTTTGAAACAGTGCCAGGGGTGTTCAGTACTCCTAGCACCAGTTTATTAAAAGTTTACTCTCTGGACACTCGTGCTTGCAAACCACATGAGCATGAGAGGGGTCACCTTTGCTGGAGCTGGAGAACTGTTAGCTTTGCCTGTCCAAGATCACTGAAAATGGTAATTGAGTCGAGCCAAGAAGCTGGGCCATGCTGGCAGGTCCAGCTCTGCCAGCGGTGATCTAAGAGGGCGTGCTGCAGGCCCAGGTTTCCCAGCCTGGTCTCTGACCATCTGCAGCCATTGGTTTGCTGGTTGGTTCAGTAAGGCTGGAGGAGACAGTGCTTGTGCACAGGTGTTTTTGAGGTCCTCAAGTCCGATCACTTCCCAGTAAAAAGGTCTGCTTGCTGGTTAAAGATGTTAAAACCTCGAAGAAGTCCAGACGTGTTTCACTGCATAGTGATCTCTTATGTCGTCACAGTATTTGATCTTGTCTGGAAAACATTTACTTTCAAATCTTCAGGTTCTAAACTAAAAAAATCCCCACATGGTGCAAGGAGACCAGGAAACTCGGCTTCTCCTGGGGTGACCATCGGGGCATGGTGCATGAGGGGTTTGCTGCTGTTTAATATGCAGTTCTGTTGCCCTCAGAATTTTCATATCTTTATCTTTGCCTAATCAAGATGTCTTTTTAATGTGAGCAATAATGAATACTTTGCACTCTCAGGCTTAAGTACTCCATTGACTTACCTCTGCAGGTGCTCCTGAGACTGGGAAGTGATTTTTGTTGTTCACTGAACCAATTTGGTTTGTTTCTAATAGCTTTAGATTTTTCCTCATGTTGTACTTTTGAGTATTTTGACCCAAAGCGACACAGCACAGCACTGTGTGACTGGAGTGCAGGAGTGAGGCTGTATCAAGGCATACCTCCCTTGCACTTGAGCTTTTTTTCTACCTCGAAGGAGCACGGGATTTGAAGTACTCTGGGTTCAGTGCTGGGAGCAGGTTTTATTTCAGAGCAGCTCAGTTTCTGATGAGGTGCTTGAGTAGTTTTCTTTGTTTCAGAAACTATTGAGCTCTTTTAACTGTATGGAAGTCATTGCTTTTTGGTTAATTGAACTGTTGTTTCAAAAACCTTAACTTTCATGCTGAGCAGTGTGGGAACAACTGGTGACATCAACTGTTAGAAAATGCCTGAGGGGGGAAAAGCACTCCTTACTAAAATGTAAGCTAACTGGGGAGTGGTTATAGTTATCACAGCTGTAGTGATCTTTTAGAGACCTGTCTGCACTCGGATCTTGTGAGGTTGAACCCATTAAAAAGCAGAGTTGACACAAAACAAATTAATCACTGCTTCCTTTTGGCCTTTCTGGGGCTTTTGAGTCGTGGACATCCAGGGTTAAATTGGATCAAGAGATTTAGTGAAAGCTGAGCTTCTTCCATATTAATGACTCCACAATCTGGGGCATTATGAAAATACCAAATATTGTCAATTATAGTGAAAAATCAAAAAAAAAAAAAAAAGACATTACTGCTTATAAAATGCTGGCGAGTTGTTGTGTTGATGTGAAAGGAGCTTAGAGAGCCATTCTTCACCAGTTCTAATTTAAGTAAGCACATAATCCAGTATATAATTCTGTAAATCATTGCATGCCTGAAGTTATTTTGCATCGTAATTTAAGATGGTGCAGTTGCAGAATGTTAATTTTGTCTAAATAGGTTATTTTAATGTGTTTAGGCATCGTAGGGTGTACTTTAAAACTCAGAATGGCACAATTTTTATTTTTCCAAGAACACAGAATGATTTTAGGAGAAATAATGAGAGATCATCATCTGACTTTAGCTGGGGTCTACACTGCTGAGCCTGTGCTTGTGTATGCTGTTGAAGATCTTCCTGTTGTTTCTTCTGCCCTATGATCTTTTTTTGGCTATATCACTTTAATAGTCTTGCTGACAGAAAATTGTCCATGGCACGTTCTCTGACAAGGCTGAAGGGTAATTGCTGAGGTACAGGCTGATGCCAGGCAAATACATACTCTGATAAACGTAATGGCTTGGCAGCCTCTGAAAGTGAGCTGTGAGCACATGGTGCCTTTCAGCTCACCACGCTTTGACTTGACATGGGCTGAACGCTCTCACACAGCTCATAAGGCTCTGCTCCTGCAGATTCACGATGCATGTGCAAAACACAAGGACTGAGTGAGTACATGCATAACGGTCTATAAAAGCAGGGCTTGCAGTCATCCACTGCTTTGTGTTTTAAAGGTGATAGTATGAGTACTGCACACATGCTTGTGGAAATAGTCACTTTGCCTACTCCAAGGTTTAAGTTTAAGCACATGGGTGACGCCATTAACCTTAATGGTGGTTCTTAGGTATGGGAAGCGCACGGTTAATTGTTTTGCAGGACTGGGATCTACCTGATTTTTCCAAGGCGTTTTTATCACCAGTAGCCTGTGCCATGAAATCCTTGCAGCCCAGAATGTTAAGAGCCAAATAATAATTAAAACAGAAGGGAAGAAGGGCGTATAATAATGTTGCTAATGTGTTTGGGCATTGCCAGGGCAGTGGGATTATTCCTTATCCTGGGCCTTTTTGTTTGCTTTTCAGTTGCTGCGATCATGGCTGTGGGTGGGCTTCTTCTCTGCGTGCTGTTGCCTATCCGAGCCTAATATGGTCAGTGTTCCTTCCTGCGCTGGCTCCTATTTTGTGTCCCACCTCCATGTTTCTGTGCACAGTCTGCCTCTCCCTTCCTTTCTTGTATTGCCCCGGAAATCACTTTCTCATCTGCCCTCTGCATCCAGCTTGTCTATCTCAACAACTGGAAATAGCATGACCCAAGGCAGAGTGTTCCCCCAGCAAGAGCAGGGTTCCCAGAAGAGAAATCTGATACGTTACACCATGATTGATCCAGACAACACACTGGAGATGTTATGTGTCATAACAGAGCTTAACATCATGCGTGCTGGACAATTCATCAAATTCTGCTTTCTGTCACCAAAAGAGGGGTATTTGTCCCCTGTAAGGGGTGGAGGGCAGGTGGGTATGTACAGGTTATGGCATTTAACGGCATGTGATGTGCATGTCAGTGGAACGAGCTGTATGTCATTGGTCTGATGACATGGTGCTATTTGCAGCGATATGTCCTGGAAGCTTCGGCCATATCTCTGCGGGCACTGAGAGCTGGGTGTGTGTGCTGCATGCTGTCATGTTCTGCCACCACCTCTTGCCAGGCTGCCTCACCAGTTTCTGCTCTTTTATACTCTCCCCTCTTTTCCAACTCATCAAAGGAAGTGTGAGTTTAATTTCTCTTGGTTTGACTGGACATGGGTTGAGTTGTTCCCTGGAAGGAAAAGTGTTTTACATCTCTGAATCAGCTGTAACCTCAGCCTGCTAGGAGTCTTGCAAAATCTCCCCTGTTGAATCCCTCCTTGAGATCATCGAAGTGCCAAGATGCCCTACTCACTTGTTAAGCTCTGAAGGTTTTGCAGCATAGCTGGGTGAGACGTGTGAAGCTGCTCTGCTGTGTTTCCTGGGGGATGCTGAGGCTTTGCGTGATGTCAGCGGGCTTATGGTCTCTGGTGTTGGAGCACAGCTGTCACCAAGTTGAACTATTTCTGTGTCCTTTAGTGCAATATTTTGGGGTATCTTTAGTTTTCATAACTTCTGAGTGCTTAAGAGCAGCATCAGCAAGCTCAACTGCTCAGCTTGAAGTGTTTGACTGCAAAACTCTTCTGGTGTGTATTTCTGCCGTACACTTCCTGGTATTTCTGTTTTCTGTCATGCCTGTACCACCAACACACAAGCAGTCCCTTTTTGGGATTTGTGCTTCAGCTTTCCTCAGCTAGGACTATAAGAAGAGAGGGGCAGCAATGGAAGTATTGGAAATGTCTCCAAGGAACAGAGCATGAGCAGAACAGGAATGAAATGAACAGTTTTGAAGAGAGAGATGTGCAAGGAGCAGTTGGCTGACTTGGAAAATGCTCTCCACAAGTTTCCTCCAAAGCTGCAGAGAGAATGATGTGCAACAAGCTGCTGTTTTGGGAGGGGAAATGGGAGAAGTGACTTCATGTCATCAACTGTGCCATAGGAAGGCATGACAACATTTCTAAAGAGATTTATGGAGATCACTTCCTGAAAGAGAACGAAACAGTATCTTGTTTATTTTTAATTGTTCCTGTGGTGATTTAGGAAGGCAAAGAGTCAATCAGTGCAAAGGCAGGGAAAGACTAAAGGCAAAAAATACCACTACTGGAATTTCAAAACTTCCTTTGTAAGGCATCCAAGTTAGTTGGAGGTCAGCTGCAGGACTGCACAGTGGAGGGGGGAGAGCAATTGAGAAGCAGCCCTCAGGAAGGGAACCTGCCCTGGTTCCTCTTGGGCCAGTCATCTGGAGTGTCTTTGACCTGAACTGAAGGTCATAGCTTGCTGTCTCACAGTCTTTTACTGCTCTTTGAATCCTGTTCTCTAAATTATAGGTCTTTGAGAGTAGGTAGAGGAGGAGTGGAGCTATTCCCAGCTACATGTCTTGCTGCAAATTACTTGTGGTAAAAACTTGGTCCAGTGTAATGGAAGTAACTCATTACAGATACCTCATCAAAAAAAGCAGGAGGAAAGTGGATAGAAAAACAACTCTTAGTATGAAAAAATGTTCATTTTACAGTAGTCCCTTGAACACTCCATGTTTTTGTGGTACTAAATACATTTCAGGTTTGCAAGCAACAAAGGTGAATTATGGGTGTGGACCAACATCACTGTAGGAAGGATTTTTGCCTTTAGCTCTCAATATCAGCATCATTTATCCATTGTAAAACTATCTGCCCTACTAGCTATTGTTTCCACACAAGCAGTGGAGATGGGACCTTGGCCAGATGGACAGAGCCCTGTTTGTTTGTTCCTCTGGATGGAACATTGTCCTGCCCTGAAACACATATGCAGCCTTACTGCTTTAACATCTTAGAAAAAATTGCCTGAACTGAGCACTAACCCCTTGTAAACAGCAACTCTGTGGTCCTTGCAAAACTCTTGTAGAATGACAGCTTAAGGTGGGTTGGGTGCACTCTTTAAAGTAGACTTACAGTAAAAGAAATGTTTCTGAGTGAAGGTCTGACCCCTGAAAAGCAAGTGGGGGTTCGTTTTTGTTTCAGATAAGTGCAGTGGGTTCATTTGTCTCATCTGTAAGAGACAGAATACGTGTATAAACCTCTGCAGGAATGGGACAGCAGTTTGCATGCTGCTTCAGGATCCAAACTGTTTTATGGTATTGGCTGAACCTAACAAAGTGAGGCCCCTTTCCACATCGAAGACTACTAAATATTATCCCCATGTTTCAGTAATGCTTTGGGCATGTGCTGAAATGCTTTGGCATTTTACTGTAAAAGTAAAAAAAAAGGTACACAAAGACTGCCATATCATCAACCAGGGCTTGAATGTCTGAGATCCAGATGCTTTTAGAGACAGTCTCCTGGATTTGTCTTGCACTGAGTTTTAACCAGAGTAGTGGCCTGAGACAGAGACATGGAAACTCCTTCCCTTTGGCATTTTGTGGCTTTTGGGGGTGCTCCAGGCAGCTGTGGAGCCACATACCACCCAGCAAAGGTATTCTGAAGTACTGGGTCAGATGCAAGCATCCCAATCTGTCCAGGGAGAGCCTCCTGCCTCCTCTCTTGACACTGGAAGGATTCTTCTCCATTAGTTGGCATCATGCGAGGCAGAGGGCATTGGTTTCCCCAGCTGGATTCTTCATCTTTCTACCTGTCCGTTTTATATTTTATAAACCTATATAGGGATCATTTTACAACTTCACTCTAATAATCTGCTCCATAAATGTTTTATGAGCTGCCTGCCAATCTGCAAGTAGTTTTTAAATAAGACATGATGCTTGAAGAATATTTGAAGTCTCACTTTTTTCCTCTGATACTTTTATTGAACAACACAGAGCTGTGCAAAGAGGACATCTGTTTTCTAGAGACATAAACTGGGACAAATCCACAACAGGAGTAAATGAGCTGAGATCCAGGTGTGCTGTTCAATTCCATTAATTCTTTGGCTGAGTGTCTCCAGCACAGTGGGAGGCAGTGTCAGAATATTTCTGCTTTCACTGTATGTGATACAGAAAAGATGAAGGAAATCTGTTTTGTATAATGACAGTAAATTGGAGAACGAATCTTCATCAAGAGACTTCAGACTTGCAGTTTTTCCAATAAGAATTAAGAGCAAATACACATGCAGAAACGGATTATTTTCCCAAACAAATGGGAGCTTTTTCTATCAAAGAGACATATTGCAAAACCAGAATATTTATGTAATTTCATTTACTAGTTAGATTCACTTACTGAACTGGGACTTTCAATGTGAAATTTCAGGTTTTTGTGGGATTTAGATAGGGAAGAAAGTCAGAAAACTTCTTTCTGAAGGTCCAGAATGGAAGAAAGGAGGTTTAGCCTCAGACAGGATGTGCATAGCCTGCTTCTCTGGATTGTTCTATGGAGGGTAGAGCCAAAGCCAACTTGTTTGCATGGGTCCCTTAAGTGTACCCCTGTGTGGTAGAACAGTGCTTTGCATTATTATGGTGTGCTTAGAACCCTGTATATCAGTGGTCACACATTCCCTGTCTCTCTCTCCTCCTTCTTGATGAGTGAGATACATTTAGTAAAAAGAGTAGTAGTAGAAAAGTATGTTTTATATGAAGCACTCTAAACCTGCGGAAGAAATAGGACCTTTGTTTGAAAAGATGAGCAAAACAAATTTTTGCATTTCATGTAAGCCAATGTTGGTGTATGTGCTTTAAGTGCATAGAACAAGGATGAATTGAGGAATTTTCAGTTTTTGAATATAAAACCACACTCTCCTTTACGTGCACACCCCAGTGCAGAAAGCTAGTTCTGCAGAAAGCTGATTCTGATAGTTCTGGCAACCTGCAGAGCTGAAACGTTGGGATTGCCAGAAGTGGGAACTGATACTGAGGCTTCTCTCTTTAGTTGCTTGGCTTTCAGGGGAAGACAGCATGATGAAGGAGGAGAATCCATTTTCACCCAGAGATCATAAGAACCAAAATACCCTTTATAATGGCCCTTACTGTGAGGGTCTCGGCATGGGAAATGGCACTGCTGCTGCTAGAGCCAGAAGAGCAATGCCAAGAGCAAAGTGGGAATAACCCACAAGCTGTGTCTCTGGGCTGTTCTTTGCCTCTATCATTGGTTTTGCATTCGGAGCACAATGGTCTCTGCTTGGCTGTGGTTCTGTCACTGCTGCTGCAATCGCACCGTGCATGGGTAGCCTGCTTACTCATTACTCCCTGTGTAGAGGCCTTGTCATCTTTGTGCTTGTGCCCCTGCATTGCTAGTCACTCCCCCCCCCCCCTTATTTTTGCACCCTGTAGCAATCCATTGCCCTTTACTTGCCTCTACTGTTTTCCTGTCTCGCCTTGTCACATCTTCCCTTTCGTAGAGGTAAGCCCACATCCCTGCTGTCCTCCTGGCAGTAACTACATAGCTCATATTTCTTTGCCCTCCTCAGCCCTCTGGGGCCCAGTGCTGCCAGACCCAGCCCAGCAGCCCTGCCTGCATCCCCTTGCCGGGCTTTTGTTTTTAATCGTTTCACAGATCTGGTGCCAAAATCCTATAGCTGAAAGGCTGCTCGGCCCCTTGCAACCAGGCAGACAGCAGTTCACGGTAATAGGACTTCACGCTGAGGGCACGTTTCATGCAGATGCCCATTATCGCCTCCTCCTAATTGCAGTTTTGTTTCTGCTAATCATACACTCTTCCTTGCTGTGAGTTATGCTGGAGCGTGTGCATGCCCTGTCCCAAAATCCTGGGTGATGAAAGAGAAGTCTCCCAAGTTTCTCAGTTTCAAGTGGCAAATTGAGGCTTTCTGTTGGAGGTGTAACATCAGCTGTCCAGCTGTGTGCTGGCTGGCTTGCAAGCGTTGCTTGTAGGTTTTTCACTCTTACAAGCAATGTCCCTATGTCTCATGTCCATGTGGTTTGCTTTCAGGATGATTCAGTACCTGTATCCAGTTATTATATCGGGTCCTTGAAAACAATGACAGATATATGTGCATCCTACACACCTCATCCTGTACTTTAAAGTACACATGTGTGTGTATGCAGTGGTTGTCCTTGCCTGTGCGGTTACCCTGTAGCTTCCAAAGTGGTATCGATGTGAAGCAGGTTTCAGAAACGTAGCCACTTACTGTAGGTGTGATGGCATCCCCTAGAGAACCAGTGCAAAGGCTGAGGGTTGAGTGAGGGCAGGGCAGCCACAGGAAGGTTTTCTGGGGAAATGTGACTCCTATATGGCTGTGTTCACAGCTCTATTGTGGGATCCAGCAGCATCCTTGCACTGCCTGGTGCTAACGCAGATGTAAGATAGGTCAGGCAGTGACTGTGTGCCTTACATCTGTCTTGCTGCTGGTCAGAAGGGGTTGCATGAATGGGTAGCTCCATTGAATAAGGTAGGAGGTGTGTAGGAAACCCAGTCAGAGCCAGGAGTATATAGAAGACCCTGGAAGGCAGTAAGCCAACAGGTAGTCATTGTTTTAGCCCTATCATTTTGCGTGTTATGTTGGCACAAGGCTATTTTTACAGTACCAAAAACTTTTAGTTCTGTGCGAATGCAGTGTGTAAAGGGACAGTGCAGTACATACAGGACGGTACCTGCAAAAGCTGGGGTTTGAGCTCTGTTGACTAGGAGATCCCATTTCTGCAATTCTAATGTTTCATCCCATTCCCCTTCCATTGTCCTTCCTGCTCTTGCTTTTTTTTTTTTCATAATAATAGCTAAATTAGATGTATGGCAGAATGGAGTTTGCAGAGGCATCTGTGGGATTTAGAAGCACAAGTCCAATTGAAAATCAGTGGGCCTTGGGCCCTGAATCCCATTAGGGAAATTGCAAGTAGTTTGATGAGCTAAAACTGGGACAGCAGCAGAACAGCCACTTGAGAGGTTGGATTTGTCACTGCTCTGGGTTTTTGTGCTTTGCCCAACTGAGGTAATGAGGGGGATTCTGCTATTCCAGAGACAAAAGCATTCTTTTTTGTTGTTGTTCTTGTTGTTTTTTTTTCCAGGCGGTGCGGCTACAGCAAGGCTAAACAAGACCCAGAAGAAGAAAAGATGCATTTTCATAATGGCCACAGTGAGTAAAGCTCCAACATGGATATATGTGTTTTTTGCTCTGCCTGGTAATGAGAAATACAACTGAGGGTTTTTTTTTTTCCAGAAATCATTTTGCTGTTAATTTACAAAAGAATCCAGATAATTCTGTTGTTCAGTAAGTCCCCATCTGCCCCTGCTCCAAGCCTCACGGAGAACAGAGTGCAGACGTGAGAGTTGGAACAATTCTTATTTGCGCCCAGCTATTCATGCCTACATATTCTTTTTCCAGGATGGAGCAAACAGATGCAAACAGAATGTTTGCAGTGGATCAGCCTCGCCAGCCATTTTGTTTTGTTTCATGGTGCTGGGATACACAGTGCGACTCAAGATGCTTTTAATTTTGCCTGGCTGGCATGTCACAGCTCTCAGTGTGTGCTCTGGGTGCGTCTGTACAGAATACCTGTTGTAAACCTTTGCTCCGCTCCAGCCAGCCCACAGCTGGCTGTGAGGACTGGACCCACAGCTACTTTTTGCTTTGGATGCCTCTGCAAGACATGAGGAATTAATGTTCACTTCTTACTCTTAGGAAGCTTCCAGAAATGCCATATTAACGACTGTAAGGTGGTCTGAATAAATGAGCCTCCGTGGTGATGCTGAAAAGTACATATTGCAATTACTGTTAGTCCTTTGGTACCTTCAAAGCCAGCATCTGAAAAGCCTTCCTTAATAAAACGTTGTGGGATCTGTGGATGTGTAACAGTAAAGTGCCTTTTGGGGTGGAAAAGGCAAACGTATCTCGAGCAAAAGTCAGATTTCCATTAGTGCTATGTAATGAAGGCAGCAGGAAGCAAATCAATTAAGAGCCACTGTGTAATGTAGCTGTCTTATTAGACTGATGAGCATTTCTTCATGTGAGTAGCCTTAATGATTGTCAAAACAAACTTATAATAAAGATAATGAAAATACTTCTTTTCCTCTTGAGTCCTGTAGAGAAAGCCTGGTATTGATTACATTTACACTGGTACAACCCACAGGCTTTGTACTGCAAATATTCTGTTCATTTAAATTTCAGTAACTCCATCTGAAATAATGTGGCTGATTGATTAGTTAATATATGAGTGGTAGGGCATAACTTATTGCAGCTCTCCATCAACTGCCATCCATCTGACTTGCTTTGCAAGTTGTTGCTCAGCATTCTTCATTTTGTGCTCTTCTTCCTGCAGGAGGGCTGCTTGTTTGGGCTATAACCAGCTTCCAGGGCTCGTTCCAGTGCTGTCAAACACCTCAAAGCCTTTATAAACCTTTGCAGTGGGGAGAATTACAAATGAGGGACTGCAGTGTGCAGAGGCAGAGCTGCCTGCCCAAGGTCACCCAGGCATTCTCTAACAGTTGCTCAGCACGAAGCTAGGTCTCCCGATAGCACAGGTTTGCACCAGGCCCTGCGCCAGCCCATTGCTCAGCACCAAAAGGAACTTCAAGCTGCTTGTCTTCCCAGCTGGCCACTGTCATGGGTTTTCCTAAATATGATGAAGATGCACGTGTGTCACATATAAACTAAATGTCATTTTCTGGAAGTGCTCACTTGCACAGTGTTTCAAAGCACGGGGCATCCTCAGAGAGCATTCAAAAAGCATTATCTGTTCATTTTTGCAGTAGAAATAGATTTCCCTGCTGCCGTGTTTTTTGGCAAAGCAGACAGTGCAAGAGATAGAAATGACTGTTATCCTCATCTGCTGTGTCATGTGCTCTTAACACTAATTTGTGTTTGCAGTTAAACTGCCTGGTGTAAGAACCTACATTGATCCCCACACCTACGAGGACCCTAATCAAGCCGTCCACGAGTTTGCCAAGGAAATAGAAGCTTCGTGCATAACCATTGAAAGAGTTATTGGAGCTGGTATGGAAATGAGTTTTGTGATCCCTAGCAGTGTGTAGGGCTGGCATTTATAACATTAGAAACCAGAAAAGGGCTGTGAAATATTTGTGCTGTTAGGCACAAATGTGGAGCGTACCCTTGTTTCAGTAGAAGCCAGGGACAAACCTGCCATTGTCTGCAATTTTTAATTTCAGTGACTGAGTTAAAAATGGCAGAAAACAGACAAGTTTGGACCAAGCTGAGTTACTTCTATGAATGCTAAGAGAAATTAATCACTTAATGTTCAGATTCTTTTGCACTACTTTCATCTTTTTCTCCTTGTTGATTAAAGTCAGTCTTGAAGCAAAAATTAAGATTGAAAGTTCATCTGAGATTTTTTAAAAAGGGGGAAGGGCAAAAACAAGCACAAACCAAGGTCCAAGACATTTAATTTCCATGGTTGAAAGACTAAGTTTCCACTTCTGCTCAAGTTAAGCTGTGTGTTTGGATTCACATCCAACAGCGGGAATATCTGGCATCCTCTTATACTGTGTTTTTAAAGGTAATTTACTGTTCACCTAAAATAACCATTTAGGCTACCTCTAAAAAAAGGTAGTTGTAAAATTGGAAAGAGTGCATAGTCCATAAAAGTATGCGTTGCTGTAAGAGGGTAACAGCATTCCATCTATTCAACTTAGCAAAGGAAGGTTAAGAAGCAACTGGTTTGTGTTTTACAGCTATGTACACAGAGCATTGATACAGGATATGACAGGAGTCTTTCATCTAGTAGGCAAAAATATCATGAAATGAGAAAAAGCCCAATGGAATATGGGGCATAGCTCTTTAAATTTAGGAAAATTACATACTGGAACAGCTCACCTTTAGAGTGGGATCAAACCCGTCACCAGGAGTGTTTCGTTCAGCTCTGCTTATCTTTCTAAAAGACTGAGATTTGCAGCTTCCTAGTTTTCTTGTGTTTATGGCGTGTGCTACACTGGCTGTTTGTTGTTAAACTGGATGTTTTCCATATTCACAAATGTGGGACAGCCCTGGGTATTTTTGATTAGCTTTCTGTAGAAGGTAGGCAATATCCTACAAACAGATACGTGCTCTGCATTCCTTAGGCATACTGTGATACTTTCTGATTTTTTTCTGAAGGTGAATTTGGAGAAGTCTGCAGTGGACGGCTGAAACTGCAGGGAAAACGTGAATTTCCAGTGGCTATCAAAACCCTGAAGGTGGGCTACACAGAGAAGCAAAGGCGAGATTTCCTGGGAGAAGCGAGCATCATGGGGCAGTTTGACCACCCCAACATCATCCACCTGGAAGGCGTTGTCACAAAAAGTAGGTGCAGACTGCTGCAGACTGCTGTCTTTGAACACTGGCTGATGGGAGAGGTAGGGGACGAAGCACTGGATAACTCAGGTTGTCAGTGCGCACTTCATTGTTTCTCTAAAAGCAGCAAACTCCCCTTGCCTGAAATTTCACATTTGGTAGGTCTGGGAACGGAAATGATGAAAAATATTAACTCCTAAGGTGTAATACACATGGGCTGAGAAAATCCCCTTTCAAAGGTCTGAAGCTAATGAAATGGGAGATTGTATGCCTGGCTATGTGCAGGTGGAGTAGATGGTGGATACAGGAGTAAGGTTAGGATGCCTGAGGGCCAGCGGAGCGTGCTGCATGACTTCTGCCTTCCAAATAATTTGGTTGCATCCTCTGCATTAAATGAAGCCACGTGGGACCATTTTGAATGCCACGATACCAAGCCTTCCCCTCAGTGCTTACAGCAGATTCACTTCCTATTCCTGCCTTTTTTTCTTTACTTTTGAGACCATATGAGCTCCAATGAGAGAAAAGAAATGCTGAGACATAGAGAGCGATTTTTCTGACAGGGAAAGGTAGAGAATTTTGCTATCAAAAGACTGGGTAGCCAAACCAAATGATTTCCAGCCATCTTATTTTGAGAAGCCTCTGAAGCAAAGTGCTGGCAGAGGGTCATGATGGGACCTCATGATTGCTCACAGGGGATGTGAGCAAGAATGGAAGTTAGCTGAGGTGAGAGTGCAGGAAGAGTGCAGAGGTGTCATTGCCCTTCTGACTGGAAGCTTTAGAGGATCTGGAGGAGTGAGAGTGTGCATGCATGTCTTCCCACAAACAGACCTATGGGTTCTCTCTAGCATTTCACAGTGCGCTTTATTTCAGCCCAATATTTGCCAGATAGAAATAAATGTGGCTAAGTTATTTGCATCAAAGGTTTTTTTGTGGGTAACAACTCCTTCAATTAAAATTATATTTCAAGTGTTTGGGGAAGTTTTTAGCTAGCCTGAGAGATGCTAGCCTCGCAAGTGTGAATGGCGGAAACCCCTTTTGCCTTTATGACTGGTAATGTTGGAACTTAGCCACTACCATTGAAATGCTGGTATCTGGGGCACATGGCTGCTGTTAGCACCAACCATCATTCACTAAAGGCGTCTTCTCCAGATTCAGCTCTTTCTCAGAGTTACAGTGAAGAAGATGCAGACATTGGCTGTCTGTCCTGTTAATATCATCATATCATCCTCTGAATTGATTCTAGTTTGCAGTCAAGAGCCTTGTCTTGCTTTTTTCTTTGAAATCGTATTTCTCAAAACTTTTAAGAAAAAAAATAAACAAAAATAGGTTTCTCTTACAAATAAATTTTATAAAGGCGGGGGAGAAAAAGTAGGGGATGAATTTGGCAACAATGTGTGTGCTTTCTCAGAGTCACAGCCTGTGCAACAGTTCTACCCCAGGAGTATGACCTTGCTGTGTGTCCTGATCTGAGGGGCATGTCCACTTGTGAGCCCATCAAAGCAGCATATGATAGTCTGACCCTGTACACTCAGCTGAGTGCTTTAAGTGGAAAGAACCAAATAAATGGAGAGGCCTGTGTATGGGACAAGGGGTGCATGTTAAGGTCTGAAGATTTCGATGTTTAGGAGAATATGAAAGGGCAAATGGCTGAGCCTCACCACATCAGTCTTTCCTGGACAGAAAGTGCCCATTTCTAGCCCTGTAGGGATGAGGGCTGTTGGGCAGGAAGTGAGTGATGTTCTCACAGCCATAAAAGCTGCTGCTGACATGGGTGTGAGTCTTTCTGCTATCAGGGCCAGATGGGTGGGATTCTCACTTAGAGAGAGGATGTGGCTCTCCCCAGCAAGCAGGTTTTGCTTAAAGGAGCCATCGGATTCAAAGGCTGTGGTAGTGCTGAGGGTTTTACAGCTTAAGAGCTCTGGATTTGTTCTGGGAACTGAGCTGGGAATAAATGGCAAAGGGGAGCTGAGAAAGGCAGTAAGTGCAACCATATGACCTGGGCTGTTGTGTTGTGTTGGAGGCAATGCAACAGTGTTGAATGACTGGTGGCTCTGGATTTCAGATGCTTTTCTCAAAGATGAGGCAAAAACAGTGCAGAGAAGGAAGGAGTGCTTCACTTTCCCAGGTTTCCAGAGGTTGAGGTATCCGAGGCAGGGTAGATCCAGTTGTTGGCTGCCTGCAGGGGTCTGAGCCCTAGAAACTGAGGAGATGGCTCTGCCGACTCTGTGCCCTGAGTTCTTCTGGCCAGTGCCCTCTAATGTCTGTACCTGTAGGTGTTTCCTTTGCAAACATGTAATCCCAAAACCAGGATGGGTGTTTGGGAGTGCTGTCTCCCTCCTGAGGTCCTTAGCTCCCAGCTTATATCTCAGGTAGCTCTTCCTCCATTAGTGCTGCTGGAGCTGTTCTCCTTTACACATTACGTTTGCTTATTTAATTCAGTTTTCATTGAGCCTGAGGAGGGGAGACTCAGCAGTTACTCAGCCCACCTCTTCTCCAGTCCTCTTCCAAAGTAGACTGAAGTTTTCCATATGAACTGTGGCAGCTTTTCAGGGAGGGGTCAGGAACCCTTTTTCTCCTCGCTGGAGCAGAGCAACTTCTAAATTGGACTTGGAGCAAATGGACTTTGAATGTACCAAAACAATTTTATAAATCCCAGACTATGATGCTATCTCTGAGTACTTTTTAACTTCTCTTCCCATTTAGCAACTGAGTCGCTGCCCTATCGTAGATTCGGAACTTTAGTGTGAAACATCTTTGATGCATCCTGATTTAGTTCAGAAGTAAATTAAGTGAAACTGAATTAGTCCGTTCTTAATTTTGAATGAGAATATTCATGCATAGCCTCAATGCCATTTAACTAATTACTTCAAATGCCCACCTTTAGATAACTTGGATTAATGGTCTTCATTGTGCCCATGCAGACAAGCCCTTAGCTATTTCTGCTTTACAGAGGCAGCAGTCCCTCTTTCATTAGCATTCCATTTCATTGCTCTGACAATGTGTACATGGGTAGGAATGACATCTGCACGCATTTTATGGCCCCGAACCACCAGCGGGAGGGAGCCCTGCTGACAGAGAATCAAACCAGCACATTAAAAGGGCCAGTGTTTACTTTTAATTTACTTTGGTTAAAAGTTACTCTGTTTGTGTCCTTATTTCCATGCTCTTGGATACGGGACTAATTTATTTCACAATTAGTGTCAACCTGCGGCTGTCAGATAATGAAACATAAGTGCAGAGATCTTCTTTTATTTTCTCAGATGGAAACCCAAGGTGGGATCCTGCAGGAGGTCCCTGGGGGCGGTGGGGTGATGAGATGCCAGTCTCACTGCAGTGCTGCCTTTATGTGTCAGAGATAAGGGCCCCATCCTGCAGTCGCTTTGCAGCAACTCATTAGACTGGGCACATCAGAAATGGCAGCATGCTCTCTGTGGAGATTGTATGACAGGCGGCTTAAAGAATCCAGGTTTTACCTTAAATCACTCATCAGTGATGCAGAGAAACACCTTGCCAACGCACATACAGTCAAACAGCAGCATCTTCACTTCACTGCTTCTCTGTTTTTCCCCACTGAAAACAAAACAAATAAAAGAACCCCATTATCTTTTGAAAACTAACATAATGGGAATCTGCACTGTTGAGAGCAGGGGCAAACTTTTTTGTAAGAAGCAGACGTGCATTTGAAAGTTCACGTCCATGTGGCTGGCTGCAACTGTTCTGACACCAGTGCCAGCACTTCCCTGTCTGGCTCTGCTATCTACATGCATCACCATGCTGTGTTCATGCAATCCCAGAATGCTTTTTTAGTGTAAAAAGAGAGTGTGTATGTGGGATTTTCCTCCACAATCACAGGGTCCATTCTGTGCATCGAGCTCTGCACGGACTCAAGTCTGCCATCCTTGAAGACAAAGCTTGCAGTGTTTGGGACACATGATATTATTATTCCTGGCCCCAGGGTGCAGCTCTCATTTCAAAAATAATACTTCTGGCAAGCTCTGAGCTCAGACAATAGCTGCGATAAGAGCTGAAAAAATGGAAGCAGTGCAAGTCCCTTTTGCTACATAGGTAGGATCTGCACAACGGCAAGAGTTCTGATTGACAAGTTCACAATTATCTTTATTATGTAGATAATTAAACAGTAAATTAGGCAAATGGTTAACATAGTGGGAAAGTGGGAAGATTAAGATCGGTCCTAATGGTAGAATATGAACTGATTTTAAGAGCATTTACCTTCGTGTGCGTGTTATGACATGTGGCAGCTCTCGTTGATCGTTTCAACAAAAGACACTTATAATGCACTTTACAAATAACTGACAGCTCCTCTTTTGTCTGTGCTTCATGCTAGCTAATGCAAATTGATTTAAATAAAAAATAATTTACATGTTCTTATAAGATTTCATTGAATTTACAAGGGCTGGAGCACACCACATTAATTATTGCTATGCTACTGTGGCAAGCTAGCGAGAAATTAGATATAAAAACTGAGCAAAAACTATATATATAATTACCATTAAAATGACTCGGGCATGAAAATTAATCAAATGGATTTCGAAAAACATTATTATTCCTGTCAACAATAGGAGGCCAGGTCTTTTGTTAAGAACTTTTGTTTTGATCCTTTTTTTTTTCTAACTACTTCACTGAATCAATACAGTACACATCTTGGGAAGAGATCTTGTTATTATTTAGGGAAGGTGAAAAAGAATCGGCACAGCAAAGAGCTTCCTGAAATTGTAATTGCAGTCAGGCTGCTGGTGCTTCCCTGCATGCAGACTCGGCACTGGTATTAACCCAACATCTGCCCCACGGCAGGCTGTGCCCTCCGCTCTGGGCTGTAGCCAAAGGAGGGAGTAGGAGCTCCGTGCCGGCACCAGGGAGCAGTGGGTGTCCCAGCACATCCACCAGGAGTGGGATGCACAGAGGTCAGCGTGGAGCTGGAGAAAGGGCATCTGATCCCGTTCTGGGGGGCTGATTGACAGCTTTGTTCTTCTTGTACACTGAAACCTCCTAATTTCCACTGCCACTCGCTCTGTGCTTATTTGCTTCTGTCCTGCAGCATTAATATTCCTTTTCATATTTCAGATGTACTTACGGGGATGGTCACATGGGATTTCTTGAAATACACAGGATGTAATCCCATCTTTTCCTAGCCTTGATGATTATCACACTCAGATAGAGACTTCAGATCATTCTGGTTGCTCCCGTTGGGCTCGTGTAGTTACTTCAGAGTGTGGAGGCTATAGTATTGGCTCTGCTGGGGCAACTGTCAGGACTATGAGAGTTCAGCTTGTAACCTCTTTCACAAAAGCCATCTGGGATTTGCTCCCCATCCGTGATTCGGGGTCACCTTTTCTTCCCTTCCTTGATCCCCCTGTCTCTGTGTACATGTGGGCAAGAAGTGTGATCATCCTGTGGATCCAGTGGCTGCTCAGTTTAGATTTACTATTGCGTGACTACATATTCACATTCAGAGACATTATGAAGTGACTTTATTTTTGTTGTTGTTGTTGTTGTTTTTAATAAATTGCTACTAACAATCTTGCACACTTGTTTGTTTTTTTTTTCCAGGCAAACCTGTAATGATAGTAACAGAATACATGGAAAATGGTTCTCTGGATACATTTTTAAAGGTAATGCTTAGAGACTTGCTCCAGGGGGGCTAGGATTAAGTTTGTGTTCTTTGCAGAAAGTTAATATCAACAAAAATGTTTGCTGGGTGCTGGTCCAGCCATTACTGCAGTCTGGAGGCAGAATTAGCTCAGTTATCTGCTTGGTCTGTATTTATGCAGTCTCGTGAAGACATGGTTCATGCACTGATACAAGCAGATAACAGTAAACTCTAGCATGTTGTGTTTGTTCTAAAGAGCAGAGTGCTGTGTGGACTCATTCATCCTGCCAAACTTCTTGACACATCCATATTGCATCGTGGCAAAAACCAGGCAATGTCAAAGCTTTTCATGAGACCTCCTTGAGAAGACGGAGGAAACAGTTAGAAATGCAGTGTAGTAGCATGGGGAGAGCTCCTGCCCCAAATAGTGACACGTGGACTTTTGCAGGTAGGATTTATAAGCAACTTGGCGCCTCTCAGTCGGCTGATTCAGAGATAGTCCGTCCTGGTGTTTTTATACATGTTCTCTCCCTGAAGCAATCTTTTCATCAGTCACCATTGGAAATAGCTTGCTGCTTGATCTCCAGTTAAAAGAACTACATTTCCTTAGCTTTGTCTCTAGAGATGCTTATCCAAACAATGAAACTTTGAAAAGCTTCATGGTCAGAGCATGAGAGTAATGAATTATTAATTTCCCTGTTTTTCTTCCCTAGAGACTCGCCTTTGCATTTTTGTTTGTGCACGTGCAATGCTGAGGGTGCAGAGACTTTCATCTGATCAAATGTCTCCTTCCCTTTGCAGAAGAACGATGGGCAGTTCACGGTCATTCAGCTGGTCGGGATGCTGCGAGGCATCGCATCAGGGATGAAGTACCTGTCTGACATGGGTTACGTACACAGAGACCTTGCTGCCAGGAATATCCTCATCAACAGCAACTTAGTCTGCAAGGTGTCCGACTTTGGCCTCTCCAGAGTCCTAGAAGACGATCCTGAAGCAGCGTACACTACCAGGGTGAGTTATATCATAGAATCAGCACAGAATTGAGCAGTGGATGTAGTCTACCTTGATTTCAGCAAGGCTTTTGATACTGTCTTCCACAACATCCGTATAACAAAGCTGAGGAAGTGTGGGATAGATGAGTGGACAGTGAGGTGGGTCGAGAACTGGCTGACTGGCAGAGTGCAGAGGGTCGTCGTTGGCGGTGCCATCGTTGTCCGGTTGGAGGCCTGTAACTAGCGGTGTTCCTCAGGGGTCTGTGCTGGGTCCGGTCTTGTTCAACATCTTCATCAATGACCTTGATGAGGGGATAGTGGCCACCCTCAGCAAGTTTGCTGATGATACGAAGTTGGGAGGATTGGCTGACACGCCTGAAGGCTGTGCTGCCATTCAGCAAGACCTGGACAGGCTGGAGAGCTGGGCAGAAAGAAACCAGATGAGGTTTAACAAAAGCAAGTGTAGAGTCTTGCATCTGGGGAGGAATAATTGCATGCACCAGTACAGGTTGAGGGATGACCTGCTGGAGGGGAGCTCTGCAGAGTGTCCTGGGTGTCCTGGTGGATGACAGGTTGGCCATGAGCCAGCAGTGTGCCCTTGTGGCTGAGAGGGCCAATTGCATCCTGGGATGCATTAAAAAGAGCGTGGCCAGCAGGTCGAGGGAGGTGATCCTCCCCCTCTACTCTGCCCTGGTAAGACCTCATCTGGAGTACTGCGCCCAGTTCTGGGCTCCCCAGTACAAAAAAGACAGGGATCTCTTAGAAAGAGTCCAGCAGAGTCCACGAAGATGGTGAAGGGCCTGGAGCATCTCTCCAATGAAGAAAGGCTGAGTGAACTGGGTCTGTTCAGCCTTGAGAAAAGAAGACTGAGAGGGGACCTGATCCAGATATATAAGTATCTAAGGTGTGGGGGGCAGAGTGGCGAGGCCGGACTCTTTTCAGCAGTGTGTGGAGACAGGCGAAGAGGAAACGGCTGGAAACTGCAGCATAGGAAGTTCTGCACAAATGTGAGGGTGACGGAGCACTGGAACAGGCTGCCCAGAGGGGTTGTGGAGTCTCCTTCTCTGGAGATGTTCAAGACCTGCCTGGACACCTACTTGTGTGACCTGGTGTAGGGAACCTGCTTTGGCAGGGGGGTTGGATTCGATGATCTCTGGAGGTCCCTTCCAACCCCTACGATTCTGTGATTCTGTAATCATAGAATTGCTCAGGATGGAAACCTGATCCAACCACAACCTAACCATACTACCCTTACTCTAAGAACCCACTGCTAGATCATGTCCCTGAGCACCACATATGGGAATACTGAACAGACTGAGTCCAAGAAAAATGTGCTTCCTGACACATTTTGGTAGTCAGGCCGTTTGGCAGAGTGGTTTCTACAAGTCCACAGGCCCAAAACTAGGTATGAGTGTTTGACCAGATGTTGTCAGCTAATCAGTATTGGATCAGTCTATACCTTAGAAGCAAGAATGGCCAAATAAAGCAGAACTTAATGGCAGTCTCATAACTTAGAGGTTTTGTGTTGGGCACCAGAGTCAAATAACAAACTTTCTGAAGCTGCTGCACTCCCAGCTGTATTTTGCCATCTTTGGTGAATACCTAAGGTCAGAAGGACCAAGAGTGGCACCCATAGTGGTCTCCTGGGCAGTTCAACTCTTAAAACTGGCAAGCACATAATGTCTTTTGCTAATGTGCTGTGTTTACCACCTTCCTCATCAACACTAATTTTCCCAAACTTGAGAAAGGACTGCTCCAGCCTGTGGCAGGAATCATCCATTCTGGGCATCAGTTCACCTGTGTCAGGCAGGTGGGCAGCACCCATTCCCAGCATCACAGGTCCTGGAGAAAGCTTCCAACAGCATGTCAGGTTGGCATGCTCCAACACATTATTAACACATTTTTCCATGGGTATTGTGATGGGAGCTCCCTGGGTCACATTCCCCGGTCCTGGAAAGATTTTGCTATTTGGGAGAGGCTTTTCAGCTCTTGGCAGTCACAGTCCCATGATGGGGCTCAGAGCACTGCTGGACCAGGGCTTCCCTGTGGGCTGAAGGGCTCTCATCCAGCCCTGCTGTGACTGCAACTTGCTGCTGTGTGCTAATTGGCACTGCAGAGAATCTGGCCCTTCACTTAAGGCATGCACTGATAAGCCTGTGAATAAATAATTATTGGAAGAAGGAACTTTTCTAATTTGCTTTTTAAATGTGTTCCAAATTCTACCTTTTTCTAATAACAAACAGCATTAGGGGACATTCGAGGAGATTTTCCAACATGCAGCTCAGCACAGAGGAAAGGACTTCACAGTAAGATATATTTTGATATATATCAAGGGAGACAAGTCTTTAAACCCAATGAGAAAAGTATTTCTTAATCCAAACTCCCCTTCCCCCCTTCCTTCTCTCAGAGCTGGTCTGAAGTTTGATTCCTAAAATCAAAAAGAGGAAAAGGAAATACCAAAGAGCATTTGACAGCTCTCCCTGTGCTAGAGTAATAGTATTTGTAAAATAAATGCAATAAAAGATAAACCACAGTGATCTGTGGGAGGTGACATCGTTTTCAGTCCCGCAGCCAAGGCCAGGCAGGCAGGTCTTTGCGCGCACAGATTTCTGTGGCCACTGTGCAGATCTCTCTGCAGGATTGGGACTGCATTGAGGGGAAAAAAAAGGCATTACTTCCGCAGCAATTTGCATGAAGCTCTCATTAGATCAAAGTCTTCCCCGGCTTCAGAGCTGTCTGTTCCTCCCCCGCTCGCTCTTAGAAATGGAGGAACTGTATTCCCCTACCAACCAGTGCAACATAATTGAGATGTTGATCCTATACATGTCCCAGCATTCAAACAGCATTCAAACAACAAACCTTCAGGACAGCCAATTAGTAGGCAGCCTACAAATGCTTATGGGCTGAGATAATGTGGAAAGGGGCCCCATGCTGTCAAACAGATTTACTTTAAAATTCGATGTCTCTTTCCAGAGAGAAAATAACATCCCTCAGTGCTCTAAGGAGTGCTGTTTTGTCCTCTTTTGCATGCTATCTGCCCTCTTCTGCAATCTGTATTTTTTTTTTATCCCTTCTCATTGCAGGGAGGGAAGATCCCCATCCGATGGACGGCACCTGAAGCAATTGCCTTCCGCAAATTCACATCAGCCAGCGATGTGTGGAGCTATGGCATTGTGATGTGGGAAGTGATGTCCTATGGCGAGAGACCTTACTGGGAAATGACAAACCAAGATGTAAGCACGTGTGGGAGCTGCCACGTGGAGGGACTTGAGGGTTTAGTCTTCATTCTGCAATCAGAGAGGGAGGATGGGGACAGGGGAGGGCAGCCACTGTAAAAATGTCTTTCTCCCCATGCCAGACCTAAGCAGTCCTCCCATTTGATGGGATGCTCTGTTTTTGCAGCAGCCCAGAGCAGGCTGTGGTTCCCGTGCTGTGGCAAGCCTGGTTCCCGCGGAAGCCTGCTGGAGCTTCACTAATGCTGTTAGAGCTGGAGACTGTCCCTGCTCTGCTTAATGACAAAGGTCTGCCAGGGGATAGATCCTGATAACTGGCAGCATTTCAATTGTGTGTTCAAACCCCTGCTGCCATGTAAAGCAGAAACTCAGGAGAATCATGGTAAGGGCTTGTTTTGCTGTACAAAAGCTGTGTGATTTGATCAAGTGATAGCAGTCCAAAATGGCAGCGCGGAGAGCTGCATCTCAGTCACCCTTGCATTGCCGATCTCGAGAACATGGTTCTGCACCTTTTTTTTCTTTTTCTTTCTCTCTCATCCTTTGATTTCTCTAATTGTGAAAGTCTGTAAGTCTGTGTTAATGCAAGCTCTCGTTTTCTTGTGCTCATTTGCTTGCGCTTAAGGTGTGTCATCTTGCTCCTGGGCCCCAGCACCTCCTCAAGGCTTTGACTTCAGGGTCACTCTCAGACGCACCCCCAAACATGCCTGGGGACACCGCCACCCTCCTTACTCTAGTTCTTGTCCCACACTGTGTAAGGATCTCCTGTTCTTTCTGCAAGACTTCTTTGTCTTTTTGTCTCTTTGAACCCTGAGTTCACCACATGCATCTGTCTAAAGCTAAAAAAAAAAAAATTAAGCCTGAATTTGCCAGATTTTCCTGGGCTGTTTCTTCCTATTCACATCTCTGAGAAGTATGAGATCTGGAAGTCTCTCAGGATGCCATCTTGTGCATGAGCAGGGGGCACCATGCAGCAGCACACCAGGCCCCAAAGCAGCTCTGTGGTGGAGGAAAATGCAGCCATTCTGCATATGGCAAAGAGCCCTTTCTCATCACTGCTGCTTTGATTCTCCATCTCCACACCTGGGGAAGTGCTGCCACTGGCTGAATGGACAAACAGCCTTGCTCTGCCATGAACTTCCTCAGTCACAAACACAACACTTCATGTTTCATCCTTTTTTTCCTACATATATGTATTTTAATTCATTTTGAGCAGTGTCTCTGTCCCTTTGACATTCTGCTGTTTTGCTGGCAGCAGAGGCTCTGGCTGAGCTGTCTGTGTCTCCTCTGTTTTGTCTGCGTGCCTCTGCCATTGGTGAATGTGACTGCCTGCCATGCTGTCTCGTCTTGACTGCTCACCTCCAGCCCAGGCAAGAAAACAAGTGGTGCCTTTGAGATGCTAACACTGCCCTGCTTGCCAGGGGGACAAGTGTTGTTTGGCATGAATGCCCCACTGCTTCTACACCACTGAGGTTGTCATGTTTGTAGGGAGTTTGGTAAAGCGGCATGTATCTACTCAGGGATTTATCCCTTTGTATCAAATACAAAGGCTTTCTTTTGTACCCTGGATGGAAAATGCAGCAATTTAGAGCCGAGCTTTTTCAGACACACTAAACACTCTAACTATCTAATGCTGATGCACCAGTGTAGTACAGATGTTCAGTAAATGTCAGGCTGAGATTCGGGCTGGTGCCAGTGAGATAACACTCTGTGGCCAGGGGAATCCCTTGTCAGATTAGTAACACTGTCAGCACCAACAATTTGCAGAACTGTTGAATTAAAATAAATACCACCTTGTCCATGCTCTGGGCATAAGGTGAATTTCACATCTGAGGAGAGTTGGCTGGGGAAGCACTTTCTTTGACAGTAGAAAGCAGAACACTGGTGAGATGTTCATGAGCATCAGTTCCTGATCAGGTTTTGCTTGGGTTCTTTTTCTCCCTGTAGCATGTGCAGACAGTAAATGCCTCAATGGTGGCAGTCTAGAAAATTTAACTCAGTGCTATGGCAGAAAAATATTTCTCCTTGTATTTATTCCTCCTCCTTTCATCCCCTAAAGGCCCACTGTCTTTCTTTTTTCCTCCTCTGCTTGTGTTGACAGAAGAATCATCAGTGTTAGATGTAGCATTGGTGGAGGTCTGGTGAGCTCTGCTCACGTGAATTTCAGACTCCTTTGCACAAGAGTTTTTTGTGTGGTTTATAATTAAAGCATGTTATGTGCAGGCACAGTCAGCAGTGAGCAAAACGGTTCTCACCATGTTTCAGCCAGGCTGGTTTCCCCTGTGGTAGAGGGGGTGCAGTGCCACAAAGCAGGCAGTGTTGTAACTTCAGTGCTACAAACCACGTTTTAAAGTCATGCTGATGACTGCACAGCTTTCTAAAAATAAGTTTTGAACCGCAAGAGAGGGCTCAGTACAGGAATTGAGGGGAATTTTGTGACCTGGTTTAGGATGGTAAGTTAAATGATTGTAGTGGTTGCTTTTTAGTCTTCACAGTAGCAGTTTTGTGAAAACAGGGGACTATGAATGCTACTTGGCTTACTAGGATAGACTATCTCAGGTTTTCACCTTCCAAAAATCCCTAGTGTCGTCATCCCATCCTTAAATACATAAATGCTTCTCCAGAAAAAGTAATGGGACAAACATTTCTCCTCATGTATGCAAGTTTTAGCTCTTCAAGTCTTAAAAAGCAGTACTTACCCATGAACAAAATGGCAAATCTGCCTTTTTTTTTTTTTTCTTCTAAGTATTGCAGTTGCTGCAAGTGACTTAGTCTTTATTGCATCATTCTTTTACTCCTGTTACAGCCAGACCCTGAAGGCACCTTCAGATGCAAGAGCAGAGATCAGCTCCCAACCCTTGCAGTATTTTGATACCATTTACATTGTATCACCAGAATGAATGACATCCTGTAAATTGAGTTAATGCAATTGATTGTGATGTTACTGCCCGGAATATAAAGCATGCATAACCCCATTGCAGATGTAGTTCAGATATTCTGAGCTGGTGCCAGATGGTCTGCTACCTGTCCTGGTACTATTTTCTTTCTGCTACAGCTGGAGGAAAATCCATTATTGTTATAAATACAGCAAATAATCTTCTCATAGCTGTGCCACACAGACTTTTTATAAGGCAGTTGTAAATCCAGGGCCAGGGACCAGCTGAAATGCATGATGTGAAGAATAGACAAAGCAGATAGTGCAGCATAGTGGGCCTGGTGTTTGATGGTGTGAGCAAAAGCCAGTATAGCAGTCCAGCAGTAGACAAGATTACTTTATAGACAAAGGTTGGGTGGAGAGCGGTGCAACTGCTCCACCCGCAGATGAAACCTTAGATAAGCCTCTGTCAGAACACAGAAGGATTGCAGGTGTTGTGGACCAGATATTCAGGCTGCTCAGTATCCTTTGAGAAGAATACAAAGCCTCAAAACATTTCTTCTCTACTCCATATGTCCTTAGAGGGTTCCAGGTTTCTGCTAATGCTGCTCAGCCATCCCTGTTCATGCCTGGGACTATTCCACTTGGCAAAAAACTCGGTGGTGAAGGATGATTTGAAAATGATGCATGCGGTCCTAAATTTTGGAGCCTCCAGGAGTGCAGTGCTAACCATAGAGCATTTTTTTTAATCACAAGATGTTTTCAAATTGTGAGAGTGCCTAGAATGAATGGTATTTGAGGCAGTCCTTGGAGTCAAGCAGTGAAACATTGTGGTTTTCCACACAGTATTCACCATCAGCAATAGCTGCTTCCAGCTTCTGTTGGGCAGTAAGTCTTGGGAGTAGAGGATGTGAAGATGGGCCGCTCGGACTCTGCTGACACGGTCGCAGACCCTTGTGGCCTGAAATGAGAGTTGTGTTCTCCTGAATGCTGCTAAGGGTTCAAAATGGGAACTACTGGGCTAGGAGCCCTGCTGTAAGTCTGTCCAAAATGAGGGAAAACAAGTTGCTTTATTCAATTCTGCCCTCATTTGTTCATTTCTGCCTTTCCAGAGCGCAGGCAGCACATGTGTTTATCACTTGTTTTGGATATAGAACCATAGATGGTTTGTATTTGGAATCAGTGCAACAAACTTCCCCTGTTTTTAATTTACATACTCTTAGGCTGACATTTTAAATTCCTGGCAGAAACGTGGACACAGTAAGAAACGACTAAACCCAGACAGTATTGAATGATATATGAGATGGTTGTTCTGCCTCTGCCTCTGCCTTGAATCCATCCATCAATTAGCATTCAAAGTCTCTTTTGAAATACAGTCAGACTTTTATTACTGTAATACAAATCTGTGGTTGAGCACATGCCTTTTCATTTAAAAAGAAGCCAACATCTGAATAAACAAAATCACTGTACTGCAAGACAATGCCAGAAAGCCCCATAAGCTGCTGTTGGCAGACAAGAACAGTCTCTAGTTTTCTGGTGTGACCTACAGACCTCAGCTGAGCTTTGAACAAGTGCAACCTGAGATCTGACCTTCTGGTTACATTGGATTTCTAGATTCATTTTGCAGTGACTAAAAATCAATTATTCAACCTATGCCATAGCAGCAGTGAAAGATAATGGAGTTTACTTGATTTGTCTCGTATATGCAGAGGGTGGGGGATTGGTTGTATGTGAGCGTATTGCTGGGCCCAGAGTTCTCTATTTAAACCAATTTATATTCGGGGAAAAAGGTAAGAGGGAGAGAAGAAAAGCAACCCATCAGCCTTGTGTTTACTTCCCATAGGTGATTAAAGCCGTGGAGGAAGGCTATCGCCTGCCAAGTCCCATGGACTGCCCTGCTGCTCTCTACCAGCTGATGCTTGACTGCTGGCAGAAGGACCGCAACAGCAGGCCCAAGTTTGATGAAATTGTCAGCATGTTGGACAAGCTCATCCGTAACCCAAGCAGCTTGAAGACGTTGGTTAATGCATCGAGCAGGTACAAAATCAGGCCAGAGCCATTTCTCAAAGAAAGATTCTTATCTGAATGCCGATTCCTGGTGTTGAATTTCTCTTTAGCCTACATGCATCTGCAGGTGGATGTTCCTCCGTTTCATTATGTCCAAGAGAGTTTTCCCAAAACCAACTTTCTCTGTTTAAATTGGCAGGCCAGTCAGCAATTCAGTAACTCTATAAATGTAGAGCCACTGCAGCAAAGAAAATTACTGTGGCCTGCCTTTTAGAAACTGCAGTTTCAGCAGTATTTATAGGTCTATGATAAAGCTACCTGCGCTCTACCCCAAGGTGAGCGAGAGCAAGACTGAGTCTGTGAAGTAGATAGTAAACACTGCTCAAATTATCTGCCTGTTGACTTTATCTTTGTAATACGAATGAGAAAGTCTCTTGGGAAAACACTGGATGTGCAAAGCTCATGGATGTCTAAGTGCATCTTCCCAGAAGCATTCCCAGGTGTGTTAGCTGCCACCTCCAGTTCCAACAGTTTTTGTAATTGTGAGGGGATCTCTGTGGTTCCCAAAGAGTTGTACACAAGCAGTTTGCTAAAACCACATTAAGTGAATGAGGCAGCCAGTCTGCAATTCAGTGTGAATTTCAGCAGCTACACAGCTACAAATAAGGGAAGTATGTGTCAAGAAACAAAACTCCACTTTAGAAAAAAAAAATGGAGAGATGAATTTTTTTTAGTGAGCTTTGGTAGCAGTCTCTCCACCATACTGGAGTCTTGGAGAGGCTTTTGTAATTTCAGTGTAAGCACACAAGTATTACTTCTGAGCCATCTGTGTTGCTAGTCACTCAGTCTCTCGCATGTTCATGTAGGAGTAATGTATATAAATCCTTGCTGCTTACCTGATTGGTGGCCGTGGAGCTCCCTTATTAATGCTGGAAGAGGCCCATCAGAAAAACTTATTCTCAGAGGACAAAAAAATGAAATAAAAGGAACAACATGTCCCAGTGCATGACATCTCCATCTCACACTGGAAGAGAAGAAACATGAAAACTTTACATAGTTTCATTTTTAAATACAAAATAGATCTGATTGTTCAGGCTATTTCACTGCATCATTAGCCACATGAATAAGAAATTGAAGAAAGACTCTTATTAGCAATTAGTTGTAATGTTAGCCCCAGCAAACCTGCAGGAACATGTTTATGATAGCACAAAATGTGATGTTTCTCTTTAATTTTCAGTTGAGAACAGTCATTTTCAAGGCCAGTTACATGGTGATATGTACTGTTATATCAACCTGTTAGGCTAGAAAAGATTAAAATAGGCAGTAAACCATCTCCTTGGGCTGTTAAACACTTTGCTGATATTTTATTCCACTGACAGGCCCTTGCAATTCCAAACTTCTCCTTTTTAAAGGTGCTGTGGGTATATTCTGTGTGCATGGAGTATGTGACCAGCCAGGCTTTGGGGCTGTGTTTCTATAATCATAGATTTCCATGCCCAGACCATAGTAATTCCAAATGAATCATAATTTCGAAGTGCAGCAGCTGTAAAGGATTTTTTTAAATATATGTAATGTATTCTTTATGGAAATTCTCATTAATGCAAATAAGGGAGGAAGTCACTCTCTACATTACAGTGCATGCATATCAGTAGGTGCCTCCTGACATTAGTGTTGAAAATCCACTTCTCATTATGATTACTTAGGAGTTTTGAATTCCTCATGTGTATAAAATGTTATGGGAAGCCATTATGCTCTTGGTACTGCAGGTATTCACATTTTATTGGACCCTTCAGCATTGCTATTAAATAAACAAATAATACTAATGTGATCGTAAAATATATGAAGATTCCTGAAGTGCTATAACAATATAAAATCTTAGCTCTCCTTTGAGTTGAAAATCTTTCAAGCATAATTCTCACAGTCAGAGGCTGACCCAGCAAATGTTTTTACCTGTGGGTAATAATCTTTATGCAAGGCTTATGTTAACTATGCGCCTTGGTTTACAAAATGGGAGAAATCTGGTTGCTTTCCTGGCTGACCTTGAACAAGTCTGTTTGTGCTCTGCGCATCATCAGTGACGTGGTGGGCCTGCTCACAACACAGGTTACTTGTGCCAGGTTCTAGAGTGGCAAAGGGTTGTTATTTGCCTGAATTGCTTCTTCTTTGCATGACAGAACCAAGCAGATAGCAGTTGCTGCACAGAGGTCCGAGCAAGGCTGCAGGAGCCAGGATTCTCACTCTGGTTTCAGGACTAAACGTGAGCCTCGCCAGGAGGCTGATGCATGGTTGGAGCATTGCTGCTCTCTGCAGGGCTTCTTGGATGCTGCCTGCATACAAAATCCTGGCCTGACTGTGGGAGCAGCCCTTGAAGTGTTAACAACAGCCTGCCGCTGATGGCTGCTGCTGGGAAATGTAATTTGGGTTTCGGTTTCCAGTCTCTGGGTTGTTTTAAGTTAATTATAAGCTTTAAAGAAAGAGGAGAAGAACAGAGCAGGAAGAGTGAAACTGAAGACCTTGAAGTAAGAGTGACAGGGAGAGCGCTGTGGAAAAGGAGCCTGCTTGTGTGTGAGGGGTAACGGGGATGGACACTAATCTGCTCCTCTGTAGAAGCAGATACTTCCCACTTGCAGTGTGCACCAGCAATGGCAGCAACTCGAAAGCAAGCAAGGTTACAGGTGAAACTTTGTGGCCCATGCGTTGTGAAGTCTTGCCTAATTAATTCTTCATGATCTTTTCATTCTGCTAAGATGGTTGGTAGTTTTGAAAGCTTTTACGCTACTCTTTCTGAAAACTGAGATAAAACTGAAAATTTGGGAAATCCCACACAGAGCTCAAAAAGCGTGTGGTTCTCTCCTCCTCGTTTAAGTTGCACTGCACTTCCAGGGTAAAGTCAACAAGTTCCAATGAGTCAGAAAAATTACAGCTCCACAGGAGGAATTGGGATTCAGCAATTACTCAAGATGCCACAGAAGAGCAATTGTGTCATGTTGGGTACATCTTGATACTGATTCTTTTTACTTCTCTGTCTTTCCTTTTGTCTTTAGAGTATCAAATTTGTTGGTGGAACACAGTCCAGTGGGGAGTGGTGCCTACAGGTCAGTGGGTGAGTGGCTGGAAGCCATCAAAATGGGCCGATACACCGAGATTTTCATGGAGAATGGATACAGCTCAATGGATTCCGTGGCTCAGGTGACCCTGGAGTGAGTAGTTTCCAGATCATTTTCACCTCTTGTAATTGCAGTTGGGGAGGAAAACAAACTTCAAAAATATGTAGAGAGGAGACTGAAGAAAGGAAACCGTTTCCCTTTGTTTGCAGTCATCCGTTTCTCTTTTAGTATCTGTATTGATGATAACAAGTGCAGACGAGTCTAAAACTGACTGTCACTATGCTAGCAAGCCAGTACTTTGGCATCTTTGCTCACAGAAATTAATGCTTGAGTTTGAATAATTGACAAGCTGTCCTCTCATCATAGCAGCAGTTTATTACTCAGGGTTATCAATAAATAAAAAAATAAGCTTACTAGTAAGTGTATAGGAGATAGAGGCCCCTCTGAGGTATACTGGCTTTACACTGCATTAGCTGCTTGAAGAGTTGATCCAGATGTAGCTAACTGCACAGTCAAGCCTAGAAAAGCATGGAAACAGTTTTCAACATTACTGCAGTAGAAATAGGAGTAGGTACAGCCGATGCCAACTGAATACCATCGACAAACCAGTGGCTCTAAGGGACAGGTCCCTGGCCAGGACTCTTCCTCCTGCGTGTGCTGTTGGTTTTTGCACCTGGATATATCTGTGATCAGGGCGACAGCACTGAAACAATTTGATAAATGCCTCGAGGCTGCTGGTTTGCTGTGCTCCACCATTAACTGCTGGTCATGTGTAATTGTCTGTAGTTTCTTCCTGACACTTAATCAAACTTGCCCTAAAGCCTGCCTTTGCGACTGGACTAATTTGAGCTTAGGTTGTTACAGACATTGGGGTAGAATGGCAAAGATTATGCTCCATCCTTGGTGCTTCTTTGGAAGAGGTAGTAGTCTTCTGACCACATGCAGATCACCAGTGCACTGGCAGAATAAGTGCAGAGGATTAGGAATAAAACAGGAAAAATCCCAGTACCCTAGAGAACCACAGCATTTTTCCTGTCTGCCACAGGGCTTGCTGTGGAGCTCACCCTTCAGGGTGAGAGTTCCTTTGCACATGTTGCAGGTTGGTACCACCCCTATACAGTTCAGTTTCAGTTTAATTGGACAAGTCGCATATGGATGGAGTGCAAAAATATCTCTCCTCTCCCTGATTTTATTTACTTCATCCACTTGACCTGTATTTGTCCCTTACTCTTGCCTAATTTCAGGTACTTGCTTGAACCCCCAAGTGAGAAAGTAAGTCTTTTCTAGTGACTAAGGAACCAGGGTCCTTAGATTTCTTTTTAGTTCCTTTTTCGGATTCCTGAAACTATTACATGCATTTGGTACTGCATTTGGACTCTACACACTTTGACTGAGGTCCATTGCCAAGGCAGACAGGGAGATCTAGCCAGAGGATGGGTGATGAGGATAGGAAGAGGCAGTAACGTAAGAGAAAAGCAAAAGGGGAGCATTCCCCTCTTATGTGGCACCTTAATCATAGAATCAAAGGAAGTCCTAGTAGAATCTGCAGAATGTCTGAAATACATCATAGGCTTTTTGCTGTTTGGCTGTATTAGTCATACCGAAGAACAAAACTAAGTGTTAAAAAAACTTCCCGTTTGTTCCTTTTTAAAACTTTATGTAATTTCAAGTGTTTTGAAAGAAATGCTTAGATCAAAAGTGAAAGGCTTTGGTTTGATCAGAGAAAATGTTGAGCACAATTCCAAATCAGTGGGTATTTTTGCCACCTATGTAGCTTTATATGGTCTTAGCATCCCTCTTCTTAGCACACTAACAAAACTATTGCTAACTTCACCTTTTGGAGGAATGACTGCATCCCCCCCCAAATCGCTCGAAGTGCAGTGCATTGTGATATGACATAATTAAGTATTTCCTGGGTTGCACATCTGTGATTTATAAGTAATAGAAGGGACTATTACAGCTGTGCCAGATTTCTACCTTTTTCTTGGATGTAGTAGTTCAGATTGTGAAATGATCTGTTTAATTTGACTTTAAAATGTAAACATTCCTCTATATTTACTGTTTGGTATTTCAAAAATTTCAGAAGTAACCCCCCTTAAGTCTTTTCAATATACCTTTCAGGCAGTCTGAAATGTTTTTTCAGATTGACAGTGAGTCCAGTAATTCATTTTCTGTATAGTTCTAGCCAAAAAAGGCAAGTTGTTGTAAGTATCATTATAGCTGTCAGAGATGCTGGAACCTCACCAGCTGCAAACCGTATCTAAACCCCTTCCACAGGGTCCCAGGATGTTCTCTGTAGCACAGACGTCATTCTGCTCTGGTCCTTTACTGGTCCCCAATGAAGATGACATGTTCTGAGCTTCAGCTTTCTTCCAGGCTTTTACAGCAGTAGAGTCATACAGAAGAGCTGATGTCTGGGGAGCCTTGGGGGATTTTTTTTGAAGATGAAAGTAGACATCTTATTAATCCATCTTGCATTTCACTGACTCACTTCTCTTGAAATTAAAAAAGGCAAGACACTGGAAAGTTCCAACCTCATGTATTAGGTGAGGTGCTGCATGAAGCAGTCTTGCGGGAAACAAAACTGTCCATGAAGGTGTATCCCACAGGTAGCTCTGTTGGCTGTATTCCGGCTAGTTTAATGCTAGGTAGTACAAGAAAACCATCATTGGGTCCTCACTGTTTAACCTGGATTTGTTCATCCTCATGGTTGAAAACAAACCCTGAGACTGTTGGTGTGGCCATCACCAGCTTATCTGATCATGCTGTGAAGAATGTGCATAAACTACTATTTTGCCTCCTAAAATGGCCTGTGAAGCTCCTTTCATGTGCAGCTGCACCACACTTTATATAAAAAACATCACTGCACCACATAACTCCATCAGATTCCTACCTGGCAAATACAGATAAGTTCTGCTGATTTCAAGGTAATTATATCAACTTTTCAAAGTTGGCTCCAGCTATAGCTAGTTATCCATGCTTGTAATACCCCACCCCCAGCTGCATAAGTCAGGCTTGGTTCTTGAACATCTCATGCACCTTTGCATTGCAATTATGGCTTAGTGAAGATATCTTGACCCCAATTGAGTCTATTTAGGGGAAAACTGTGGAAGGTACATCAAAGGCTAACAAGCCATCCAAATCAACACCTCTGTGATTACTCTCAGACATAGTAAAAAAAAAAAAAAAAGACAGAAGGCCTGACTCATAGCCATTAAAAAAGGAAAAACCACCTTAGACTTCAGGGACATCAGAGGAATGCTATCCCATACTTAAGAGCTGAACCGTGTGCTCTGATGTAAACTGGCAGATTGCCTTTGAAATCAACAAAGTAAGGGAGAGAAATGTTGGTTTCTGTGGGGGCTCAAATGAAGGCTTCATGTGTTCTCCAGAGATGCTATGGGGAAGAAATAAACACTGGAACAAGCAAAGTTCATTAAAGGTTAATATATTTGGGGTTTTGTTGTTTCTGGAGGTTTTAATTTTTCTCCCTGTAAGAGGAAACAACAAAACATTTTGTACTCTGCAAATGAGAATTCAGTCTAAATGTTCCTTGTTTGTTTGTTGTTTTGTTTTTTTGGTGGTTTTTTTTTGTTTTTTTTTGTTTTTTATTTTAAATAGAGGCAACTGTTCAATATATTCCAGAGCTGGGACTTGGGGGGATCAGGTGAAAAGAACATGTGAACATTTACAACTAGCTTTCTTTCCCCAAATGACATGAGTAAAAGATTCTTTACAATTTAAGAGGTTGCCTTCAAATACCATCCAAAATGATAATCCCCAAATTGAAACTGCTTAGGAAATACATGGAAATTAGGTGAAGAAGGGAGAACTGATTAATCACCACCAGAAGACGCTGAAAAAATACAATGATGTATATTTACAATGTAAAGAATTCTTAAAATCTCCTGGGTAAAGCTACTAGTACTGTAAGAGAGGGGATGGCCATAGCATTCTGACAGAACTGGTGTCTGCAGGTGATCAGCTTGTGTCCTCTTTAGGGGACCTGGTTGAGATGGTAGATGTTCAGCACTCTTTGAAAATCCCACCTAGCATGCAAATCAAAATCCCAGTTACCACCTTGCTTCGTTCAAAGTCATGCTTAATGCTTTTACTCCAGAAAAGAGTAGTGCTTGTGACAAATAATTGAAGATAAAACTTTTACAAGCTATAAACTGTGAATAATATCGCCCCAAGTCCTGAGCTCTGCTTGCTTAAGCAAAGACCTGAAAATGTATGTTTTCAAACAAAGAGTGATTTCTACATTTAGCTCTAATTCTTGCAAAGGGATGAATCACCTTGTGAAAAGTGGAGCCTCACCCTCCACCCCCTCTTTCCAACTGGATATCAGACTTGAAGGAAACCTTTCCAGTGGATCAGACCTGCTCTTTAAACTTGTGGACCACCTAGTGACTTTGAGTGTGTCTGGAGCTCTTTCAATCCACTGCAAGATTAACTTTACCAGGACAATACTCAAGAATAGATAGATCCATGACATGAGTTTCAGTCTGATATTTGACTGGACCAATTACTAACAAAATGTGGACTGCATACTTACACCTTTTGAAAGATCTGTGCTCACCGAATCTCAGGACACCCTGTTGTTTGTTATTAGATGAAGAACTCTGAATATTTGTAATAATATGTGATGTGTTGCTTTGCATTGTATTTTTTTCTTATAAAATAAAATAAATTATTTATTAAAAGTTATACTGGATGAAGAACATTTAAGAGTTCACCTGCTCTAGATACTTATTCTTAACCTAAAATCTCAGTTCTGGATAGTGATACTGCATACACTTGTGAACAAACCCATTCTCATGTCATAATTAAATAGGATGGGAGTAACGAATAAGAGCAGATGAACTCTTAAACGAAGAAAGATCCTAATCTCATGCAAAGGTCCCTTGCAAGTGGATTCCTCTCGCCCTAGTGTCTTCTAAAGGTCTTTGAGGTTATTCTTTCCCCTCTTTCAAACTGACAGCTAACTCTGTGAGTAGTGTCAGTCTGCATGGGCCAGTGTAGTGCTGCGCTGTGTGAAGGAAAGTGCTACAATATGGCTGGGGTGGGAGATGAAATGCAAAATAATCTCTGGCAGGCTGATGGCTTCCAGCCATGGAGGTATTTCAGGAACCTGGCCCTTTTGGTTGCATGAGTAATGGAGTGGTGAGGAGTGTTGTATTTTATGTGGCAATCCAGTCCTAGTCTACACTGTGTTTGACAAATTGGTCCATGGTGTATAAGTAGTTCTATTTGTAAATAAAGTGTTTTAAATATATTTCTTACAACGTGGAGACCATGAATTCAACTATTTCAAATGGAGGATATTGCATTTAAGGGAGTACTGTATTGTCACTGGCACACTGAAGCCAGGCTTTCATATAAGGCCATGGTAAAAGCAAGTGTGCAGCTGCTTACAGGCTGTTTGGAATGGGCCGATACCTGTTTTCCCCTTTATTTCCTTGGCTTTCTGGTTAAGTTGCCCTCGTAGTACTGTGTCAGCATGTGATTTGAATTCCTGTGTGTTTCTATTTTCCACATTACATGAAAGAAAGAAATGAGAAGGGCGAACTTATTCCTGAAGCAGGACTGAAAGTTGTCTTGTTGCTGCAAGTCAAGTATTTGGAAGCAGGGAGACCTGCTTAATATGACACATGGGTACTCCTATCTTCACAGCCTCAAGAAATGCCCATGCAGCTGCCACATCAGCGCATGCAAACCCAGCAACTGGGGTAGAGTCACTTGCATGGCAAGGTGTAGCCTGGATGCTGACTGCAAGTGCCATTTGCAAGGTCTCAGATGTGCCTTTTCTTGCAGGGAATTGCACTTTTCCTGTCACCCCCCAGACATTTGCAGAGCCTGTGAAGATATGCTTCCATACATCTCTGGGAAGCTGAGCCCAGTGAAATTGCCAATTAACTGTGGTAAAATGGAACAATGAGCTTTGGACTGAATTTTTAGGACAGTTGTGTTGCAGACCTTCAGCAAAGAAATCTATTTTGTCTCCAAACTGGCTGTTATGTTCTCCCAGTTTTGTTTAAAATTGGCTTCTGTCTTCCACTGCTTTTAGTCCAGTGCTTTGACGCTGGATGTATGGGAGGCTGCAACAGGGTGCAAGTCACACTTGAAAAAGGGAATTAAAGCTCCTGCATTCTTGAGGCCTTTTGCTGCTTTTTTTTTTTTTTCCCCTCAAAAGTTTTGTTGCTGGCTTTGCAAAGTGCAAGTTAGCTTTTGAATAAAGCTGACAATTTTATATTTGGTGAGCATCTGGCTCAGGAGCTGTTGTCTGGATTAGGCTTTTGGTCAGTCTTTGTAGAGCTAAATGACCATACAGCACTTTTTCCCCTCTCTGAGGAGTCCCCACACTTTTGGCCAGTGGCTCCGCATTCAGGAGTATTCAATAGTCAAAAAAATAGATTAGATCTCCTGGTGAGCAACTAATGGATTGAAACTAGAAACTCGTTTTTCTTCTCTCTGTCTGTGCCTCTCTTAAATCAATGAGGCACTGCTCAAGGATATTGGGTTATGCAGGATGCTATGAGGAAAAAAGACTCTGTAGTGAGTACCCTGAAAACCTGAAAATGGTGCTTGGATCCTTTTGATGAGGAAGCCTGCTGCGCCAGAGAGCATGGACCTTTTCTCACTAGACTGACTGAGCTGTGTATGAAATGCAAATACACACATGCCTTGCTGATAGTTTCAGGCTAGCTTTTCTGCATAACATGCAAGAGCAGAGAGATATTACCAGAAACAGTACATATGTGAAATATGTGTTGCTGGATTTTCAAAAGAGCTCAGTTTGCACTTTTAGATACCTGAAAAAAATAGCTGAACTTTCAAAGAGCACCAGCAGAGCAGCATTCAGCAGGGGGGAAGATGGATGTTGGCTCTTCTAAAATTCTGGTCCTATACTGTTTTTTTTTATCTTTGGTGTGAACTTCCAACTGTGCTGTGTACATAAAATAAATTGCATGGAACAATAGTATTACTACATTTTCCTTCATTATTAAGATCGCTTGCTGAACTAGTTTCACAATTCAGTGGAGGTAGAAATGAAAGCATGTCCCCCTGAGAAGGTAGACACCTTTGCAGATGCTGCAGCCTTTTCTTCCAGGTAAGGAGTGTGCTGATGTGTCTCATGGACCTCTGTTACTCCGCACCCATTGTGTTGTGATTTCCAGTATGCATCAGAGAGATGCTTCACTGAAAAAGGGTATGATGATGGAATGTAGTGTTTAGCCTCGAGCAGAAAATCTGGGATTTTCCAAATCAAAAGGCTGAGAAGTGTGACAATCCTATGGAGAACAGATCTAGCTTTTGGCTTCAACTGGTTTTTGTGTTAACACATCAACCTTCACTCGGGATTGTTTTTTATTAGAAACGATGTTTTTCTGAAGTGTTCATCTATGTAATTTTTGGATGTGGATGGTTGTATTTACACAGGAGTTTCTGTCCAGAATATAAGTCTGCTGAAAGACACCTTGATGGCTAGCTCACATGCATTATGTAATGGCATTCTGGTGTTCATCGCACGCGTTCACCTGCAGTCGTCTGTGCACTGTGGGCCAGGTTTTCCAGTGTGTCTCAGGTGGCGGCTGGGCTCCTGGGAACAGCAGGAGGGACCAGGGAGCTGCAATTCTGAGTGTCTGGTGATCTGGTGACATCCCGCTAGCTTTCAATGGAGAGCCTTCTTCTAAATGGCTTGTATGTTTCTGCATACTCTCCACAAACTAGTGTCAGCAGCACTGGGATTCACACCTTTATTGGCAAAACAGTAGAGCCCTTCTTTGAAAACATACTACATGCAGTCCAGCTGGAAGGTAAAAAACAAGGAGCTCATAATTCTGTGGTGGAAGTCTTCAGATGAAGCATCGTGTCTCGTCTAAGTCAAATTGCTTCCCTAACAATCTATGTCTCATGTTGGAAACATATAGGCACCTGTCTTGATCCTTCTTCCAAATGTCATTCCTTCAATTTCTTTGTTATCAATTTTCGCTCTTTAACGAAATCAGTATAATTGCACTGCCATAACCCACTGTGTGAGAGGCACCCCACCTGGCTTTTAGCTGTGTCATTAAATCTAATCAGGGAGCAACTCATCCCACACTTTGAATGGGATAAATCATCTCATGGAGGTGCTTCTCTCACAGTTCTCACAGAAACTTGGCAATTAGCTTAATCTAGATACCTACATTTTAGAGAGCTAAATTTCTGTGAAGACAACTGTTCTTCCTAGTCGTATGTTACACCTTTCTTGTAATGGCACCCTGCTAGACAGACTCAACACAAATGCCTTTATCTTTTAGAATTCTCACACACAAAATAGTCAAGCCTGTGTCTTCAGCAAGATTTGCAAAGGCTCAGAGGGGAGCTGTGTTACGAATTCATGTTGACTTTAGAAGGCCGTAATGGTGGTAGCTGTGCTTAAGGCTTTTGCCATTCAGCTCTCTCTAGGAGCAGGCAATAGGATTGTGGTTTGTGTATCTTTGGCTTTGCCTCATCTGAAGAGGAAGGAAGTGTGGATTGATCTTACTCCTCGCTGTTCGTATCCAAGATCAAATACCAGTCTCTCCCAGGAGAAGAGGAAACTGCAACACACATTTTCTTACGCAGGTTTTCTCTTGGAGTAGGACTTCATACATGTAGTGGAGTCCCTTGCTGAAGCCAATGCTAATACTTTGCTTTCAAGCTTTTCCCCTTAGTCACCAAGATGATCTTGGTCAAGCCATGTCACCTCTCTGAGACTTTGTCAGCCATTTAAAAAAATTGGGAAAATTAAATGTGCCTCCTTATTTAAAGGGCTTTGGGAGCCACAGATGGTAAGAGGTAGGCGCTGGCAGCAGCATCGACGCATGCGGTGCGTAGTGTGTGTGGCGGCATGTGCCTGAACAATCCCTGGAACCAACATCTGCTTTCTCCCACAGGGATTTGAGGCGGCTGGGAGTGACACTTGTTGGTCACCAGAAGAAGATAATGAACAGCCTTCAAGAGATGAAGGTCCAGTTGGTGAATGGGATGGTGCCATTGTAACTCGGTTTTTAAGTCACTTCCTCGAGTGGTCGGTCCTGCACTTTCTATACTAGCTCTGAGATTTATTTTGACTAAAGAAGAAAAAAGGGAAATTCAGAAATACAGAAATTTCTGTAACTGAAGGACGCTGGCTTCTGCCACATGATTTATAAAGCAGTGTTTGACTGAAGTTTTCATTTTCTTCCTATTTGTGTCCTCATTTTCATGAAGTAAATGTAACATGCATGGAACATGGAAATGGATCTACTGTACATGAGGTTAACCAATTTCTTGCGCTTCAGCGATGACAACAGCAAGCCTTCCCACCACATGTTGTCTATACATGGGAGATATATATATATATATATATATATAGCACCTTTATATACTGAATTACAGCAGCAGCACATGTTAATACTTCCAAGGACTTACTTGACTAGAGAAGTTTTGCAGCCATTTGTGGGTCACACAAGCTGCGGTTTACTGAAGTTTACTTCAAGTCGTACTTGTCTACAGAAGTGTATTGAAGAGCAATATGATTAGATTATTTCTGGATAGATATTTTGTTTTGTAAATTTAAAAAATGCTGTTACACAGCGTTAAGTTATAGAGACTAGTGTATAAACATGTTGCTTGCTCAATGGCAAATACAATACAGGGTGTATATTTTTTCTCTGTGTTACAAAGTTCTTTTAGTTTGCTCTTCTGTGAGGATAATACGTTATGATGTATATAGTGTACAGTTTGCTACACATCAGGTACAAGATTGGGGCTTTCTCAATGTTTTGTTCTTTTTCCCTCTTTTGCTTCATTTTGTGTTCTTTTTGTGTTAACCACTATGCTTTGTATTTTTGCTGCTGTTTGGTTTGAGCAACATATAAAGCTTTCATGTGTTTTGATTATATATATGAGGTGGAAGGAGTCTGCTTAAATAAAGAACACCATTCTCCGTCGTGGGCTGGGGATGTCCCGAAGAGGTAAAGTAAAATGGGACTTAAAACATACAGCTCTCATCATCCCTCAGCAGCATTGCAGCATCTGTTTTCTTCGTGTGTTTCATAATTTGCTCCTGGTGCGCCCCTTCCTGGAAAGAGAAGATGTGCGTGGAATCCATCTGCACCAGTGTTTAAACCCAGCACTGTCTCAGGGTAGCCTTTGACCTGCTCCCTTGCTTTCCTTGCTTCGAACAAGCACCCTTCAAGGCCAGGAGACAAATCACCACGTGTTGTTAGCTAAAGAAAGGGATTTTGCTGTTCCTCTTCTGCTTGTACGAGTCAAGTTCTGGAGGTGCAGTGTGGATGCATCTCCACTACCATCCAGCATGGAGATTTCACAGCATTTTCCAAAACTGTGGCCAGGAAAGTGAGGGAGGAAATTATTTTGGGAACTGCACCGTTCCATATTGTTTTGTGGGTATTTTCAGCTTAGACACCCTCCACGTCCCTTGGGAAAGTTGGACAGGTCAGCTGCAAAACACTCATTCATCTTACAAAAATGGGTACAGACCTGGCCACTGTGGGGCAGAGCAGAGAGAGGAGTATAAAAGAGAGCAGCCCAATATGGTCATGATGTTGGCATCCCATGATGAAGATGATCTGTCTGAATCTGACACTGCTTATGTCAGTACTTGGTTGTAAATCTGGGCTAATGTGTACACTGCAGTTTGAAGATGATGTTTTCAGGGGGACCTAAAGGCAGCAGTGAGATGCTGAGTCCTCAAAATCTCACCACGAAAGAAGTTGGGGCTGTCCTCCTTTAGCTGTAGATGGGAGTAATCAGGGCAGTTAATTTGGTATTCATAGGTTGTTTTGTGAAGCTTTGGTGAAGATAAGGATTAAAGAATTGCTCGGCAGATGGCAAGTGTTTACTGTAGATATATTGCTTCCTTAGAGGTGTTGGATAGTATCTTCCTTGATAATAACATCGACGTATTGACTTACTGTGTTTCCCCTTGTCCCCTGGCACTGCAGAGTAGAGCCTGAGCACCTCATCTAATGCCAAAAGGCAGCCATTTTCTTCTCCCCTACAGAACCATGTTTTGAACACCACTCCAGCTGGTTTTAAAAGTCTTTCTTCAATTTCCTCAAAGCCCTTTGATGAGATTTAATCCAAATAACAGTTTCTAAAGAAAAGGGGTGGGAGAAGGTGTAGGAAGAGAGGGTTTGCTGTGCATTTGTTTTTTTTTTTTTTTTCTCAGCAGCAGGGCTCACTTTCTTTCAGCAGGGCTTCTTGATGCAAAATTTGTCCATCTTGGAACAGCCTGCATGCTTAGTGATGTCCAATTCTCCTCTGAGAACTGCTCTTTTTCTGAGGCACAGGCAAGGCCTAAAAGAGCAGAAATAGGTATGTGGGAGGGCAGGAGCACATGCTTGCCACTCTCACCCTGCTGCCTTGGCACTTGCTGCTCATGGGAACGTCGAGCTCGCCTGACAGCACAAAAATAGGACGGAGCTGAGTTGCACAGTGAGACACAGCCAGGCAGTAGGGGAAGGTCTGACCAACCTTGCTTGTGTGATTTCTCATCCTGTTGCTTCATTTTGTCAGCCACCAGGCCACAAAAGGTGGGGGAGAGGGAATCAAGACATAGCAATTTCAGCACATAGCAGAGATTTGTCACATAATAAACAACATTGTTAGGCCTGTCAGCAGAGCTGTCTTGGGATTATTTGTGCCTCTCTGCCTGTAGCGCTTTGTAAAATAACCCATAGGAAGACAGAAACAACAACTCTTCTCTTTGGGAAGTATTGTTCGGTTTCCACATGCATCCATCAGCTGCATCGAGAGAGATTTTAGTAGCAAATTTCAGTACTTAGCCTTTCTGCTCATTTTGTTTGGTCATTCATTAACTGCTGGCTCTGTGTAAGGATTTGGTTTGTTCTTTTTTTTCCATATTTCTACAAGAAAATCCCAGCACCGTTTGTGGGTTTTAAAGGCATACACAGTGCTGCTGGGGTGCACCTCATGGAGATGAGAATGATGTTCCTGATACACTGTAGTAATTGCCAGATATTGGAGCAGTCTTCAGAATACTTTTCAGAAGGGCCTGTGGAAAATGAACTGTCCTTAAACCAGACTGCATATGTAAATAGGGTACCTACTCTCAGTTCCCTGAATAAATAAATAAATGATCTTTTATATTTATTTCAAGAACTGTTCATGCTACAGATCTCTTTACTATAGGCTCTGAACTGGAAATAAAGACATTTTAACAAATACAGGCCAGAAGTTACAGCTTCTACTTTCACACTCAAATTCCAGAGTTCTGATGACGGAGCTACCAGTGAAAAGAGAACTACAAGTACTCGGTCTGTGGGGCAACTGGACCATTTACTTGGGCCTCTTACGCAGATTTAGGGTTATAAAGTAAAGCTCCCTTTTTACCACAGTGTTTTTGAAGGACTCGGGGGGGATCTGGCAGCACCTCTTTGAAACTTTCTACCTGCGAGCTTGGCCAGGCTGCTGCTGTTTTCACCTGCTGAGCCGGGGCACCACGAAGCACAAGTAGAAAAACTTGCCTTCAAAAGGAGTGGCAAATGAAAATGTATAGCCTGAAATCAGACATTGTGAATGGATGAATGCATATTTTGGTGTGCAGTAGGAGATCACAGTAATATTTTTTTGGTTATGCTCTTTGTAAGCACAGGGGGAGATAAGGAGGGTAGTTAGCTGACCTTGCCAGTTGTGTGCTGGACCTGGAAACCACAACGAGGCAGTGGTTTTCATTAATCAGTAAAATTGGAGCTGTAGGTGGATTTCCTGCCTACTGTAAGTCAAAGCAGTTTGCTTTTTCAACTCGCCAGTGCTGCTATTGATACACTGAATATTTTTTTCCAGTACGTTTTGCTGCTAATTGCAAGAAAGTATTTCAAAGGGCTTGCAAGGTGAAGAGGCTCTTTTCAAAACAGTTTTTCATCTTGGGAGAAGGAAGTCTCCCCAAGCATGGCTTGTCTCCATTCATTGTTTATTTATCCATTTGGCTAAATTACCTAACCTTAAAAAGGAAGATGATTTTTTAAAAGTAATTTTTTTTTAAGTTTTGTTTTGTTTTGTTTTAAATTTCTTCTACATATTAACAGCAAAAAGAACAAAAAGCTTAAAAAAAAAAAAAAAAGAAGTTGTCTATTCAGTATTGAATATAAAAATGTAGAATTCCCAGTTGTCAAGAAATTGTGACTCCTTGGACTGCTGTAGTCTTGAAATTAGTCATTAAGGCATGTGTGATACATCAATAGCAGTCTAAGAGTAGCACTTAGTTTCTGATCCTTTATTGTTTGTTGCAATTTCTTAGGCCGTGTAGGTCAGGAGTTTATATATCCAGTGCTATTGGTGCTGCAGCATTTGTCTCAGCTCTTTCAACTGTTTCAACGCATAGGAGACCGTAGTGTTGCTGTATTGATTCCCTCCTTTTTCCCCTCCCGGGATGCTCTCTGTGCATTTTGTTTGTGTACATGTTTTTAGTAGTGTAAGATATGAAATTTTATATATTTTTTCATAAAAATAAAAAAATCTTTGAATAATGGCTCCATCCAGTTGTGGATCACACACACCATTTTGAGCCTGCCACGAAGCGTCGGGTTCTCCTCCCTCTTGCAGCAGTGAAGAATGGCTTGGAAAAGATGTAACGGAGGCAGTGGCGAGCTCGAGGAGGGCCTGGAGAACTGTTGGCTTCAGGCTTCTGCAAGGTAACTGCTGCTGTAGGACAGGAGCTGTGTGCTGATTCTCCTGGCTTCGTGGGAAATCGCAGCAGACAGTGGGTGATGTGGGTGATGCTTTTGTAGCCTGGTGTTCGTGGCAAAGAATGGCACAGTAGGCTGGGACGGCAGAGGAGCAACACTTTGTATACCAGAAGGAGCACGAGGTCAGTTGTGTTAACACACTGATGCTGTCAGCAACTCAGATAAAATGCCAG